TATATATATATATATATAACCGTATTGATTAATTACCGTTTGAGTAAATTATAAATTTGAAAGGTTATTGTGCGAAAGACATGTCTGATTTTTTTCGGAATTATGAATAATGGAAGCGCACGAATTTATTAGCTATACTACTTTTACTAATACTACTACTGCTGCTCTCGTGAATGAAGATACAGGTGGGGAAGATTAATTTATTGTTCAATAGACAATCACACAGTGGTTTAGCAAAGTGTGGGAATCATACATCAAATAAATCATTTGCAAATAATTTTTACATCATCTTTGAATTATCTCTTACAAGTTTTGTTGTTCATTCATTCCTGTTGTTATCTTAATTGCTTTCGGTAACTTTCTCTCTCCTCTTCGTCTCAAACTTCTCAATCTTTTTCTCGCAGATATTCTACTTTCGACTGGTGTTACATACAAAACTATGTCTAAAAACATAAGTAGTATACGCAACACTGCTACTACTACTACTAATAATGATCACAGATTTCTTATATTTTGTATATTTGTAGTTGTATATTTTATAAATAAATGCATAACCAGTGTAAAAATTACTCGAAAATCAACCGTAAATTATCCCCTTACAAAACCTTGATTATCCAATGCAACTATATTTAATGGTTGAATAAATGTACGATAAAACAGAGTATGATAAAAGAAATTTTTGTTATTTGTTGCAATACATGTTTAATTGACATTTATTTGCAGTAATAATATATATGAATTATTCGATCCAAAAAGTCTTAGAACAAAGAAAAGAAAGACTCTGAATAGTGCAATCACCAAACATCTCTTTGATACAGGACATCAGGTAGATACCTTACAATCCTTTAGAGTGATTAGTAAGCAGCCAAACTCCAGTCTTTTGAAGTTTGCTGAAACCGTTGCCATCAGGCATCAAAAACCTGACCTATGTGTTCGAAAGAAGACGGCTGTTAATCTTTCCTTGCCTTGGTGACAAGTATTCTTTCGCTGCACCTTAAAAATTTTTTTCTTTTGTATTTATTACATCATTGATTTTATTTTTCCAACTATCTTTCAAATAATAATTTTTCAACTGAACTCTGCTCACTATGTTCCTATCAATTTTTATTCATTATGTAATCAGTTGTTTCTAACCCCCTTTTGAACTGTTGTCACAATTAATGCTGTAGAATATTCTTTCATATTAGGTACATATTTACAATATTCAGTCCAATAATTTCATTTATACCCATGATATACTTTACGAATATATCTTCAATATAACTTCCAAACAGACCCTCTCACGTAAGCAATTTAAACCCATTATGTAATTATGATTTTTAAATATCACAGGCTGTAAGCAGCTGACGAGAACCTACGAAATAAAATGAATTCAAATATCATTCAGTCAAACGATTTAGTTTTGGTATTTTATTTATCCAAAGGTACTTACTCAAATCAAAATTCTCATCGATTTTATACCTTCACTTTTCAAGCATCTGAATTGCCAGTATTAATTTATTTGGTTCATTGATAAAATCTCCGAGATCTTTATTAGACCGAATTGACTTACATTTAAATGTCCGTATGATGCTGTGTAATATTTAAATAGAGAATATGTATAATAATTCATTTTTAACATCATTACTAATTTACAAACGAAATACTTATACATAAATAAATCCGTAAACATATACTAATTTGTGAGGTGTCGATCTACATCTATATTAATATCACTTTTGAACAGTTACAATAGTCTAATAGTTTCTTCTTCCATATACATACACATACAAATAAATGACCAAACAACTGTAGATGTTGAAAGCAATTAGTTCCTTTTATAAATTATGATCGAATGAATACTTCTCATAGTTCTAGATATGTCTTTTTTTTCTTCCAGTTTTAACTAAATTTCAAGTATTAAAATAATGTAAATTTATGTACGTAACAGGTTTCAGATGATTTCTTGATTGAGATCATGAACCGATTGATGTTAAACCACCTTTGGAAACCTGGAAGCACTGGACGGCCGTTTCGTTCTATTGTGGGACTCCTCATCAGATGATTTCTCTAAATCATTAATAATCTGATGTCATATTGCTTTATTTGTAAATCAACATCAAGTTTCTAGTATCTTGAAAAAATTCATTAAACAATAGGCAGAATAATAATTATGCTAATAAACTATTTATACAAGAATATGCGTAAAACAAACTGAAATACATTAATTTCGTTAATGAACAAACGTAATGTTAACTATATTTTAGTGAATATGAATTTCAAAAAGTTTGAACGTCTTTTTTTTATTTTCTTAACAATTTTAATAACTTATTATTTTGATATATCGAACTAGAAAAAAAAGGTGGTCAGCAACAAAATGTAATGCTTTGATGTTATGAATAGATGAGTTTCAGGACTATCATTACTATCATTACTCAGGTAAAATACCAAGTGAAAATTATTAGATACTAACCAGTTTTAACTTAGTCTCATATCTTTTAACAATGCAGATTCACGAACTTACAGTATTTCAAATTTAAGACTTGGATCTTCAATCAAGTATAATATGTTCACTTAATAGAAATCCAATAAAACAATCCCTCCCAAAAATAAACAGTTTTCCTCCTTAAATTGGAAGGTCATACGATCAGTATACGATCTTTAATGAATTCACTTATCTTAAAGCACAAACCCTTAATATATAATGATCTATTTCCATCTTGTTCATTAGGCACTGAAATATTTTTATTTAATTATCCATCTGGTCTTTGATACTTACATTAGTTCTTGTTCTATATTACTTCTATAACCAATTATATCATTTATCCATCATGAAACAAATCCTTTGCTATACCAGATGTTTTCAATCATTTCACCACATTTCATAGTTATATTTGTTCTTTTGTTAAGATTTTATTCTTTTCTATTGACATTAGTTATTACTAATTGCCTATATAAAGATAATTATCAATAAATGTCAATAAATCTTTTATTTTAATTACTTACTTTACAAAAAAATATTTGAAATAATCTCAGCGATTAAAATTTGAATAATTCCAACGTTTCGTCCAGCAAACTCGTCTGGACTTCTTCAAGGTAATAATCAAAATCAACATCATCAAATAAATATATAACTTTTTAACAATCAACATGCAAGTTTGATTGGTGTATCACAGTATACTTATGACTGTTAAAAAGCTATATATTTATTTGATGATGTTGATTTTGATTATTACCTTGAAGAAGTCCAGACAAGTTAGCTGAACGAAACGTTGGAACTATTCAAATTTCAGTCGCTGAGATTATTTCAAATAGAATTTTCATATACAGTGTTAACAATTAGGTTTTCTTGTTCTAAGTAAAATATAACTAAATGAAACGTTCAACTTCAATGAATAGAAATAATTTTGGAGGTAAAGAAACAGTAATTATATTATCAGTAATTACTTTACATTTTTGATAAAAAATTATGCAACACATGAAACGATTTAAAAACGAAGCAATGAAAATAAACTGAGTGTAAAAGAAAAAAAGTTCAACAAAAAAGATAGGTTCAGTGAAGAGTTCTCTTTACAAAGTTCTGTAATAGTAAATATATATGTATTTTTTTCCCGGATGATAATAATTACAATAATAATGATAATAAATTTCTGTTAGACACTGTGACGGTAAAGTAAAATAAAAAAACCTTTTAGAAAAACTTTTTTTTCAATCAGGGAAACTAATAATCTCACAGATTGAAATCATGAGTCAGTTGAAACTAGACCACCATTGAAAACCTGGAAGCACTGGACGGCCGTTTCGTCCTAGTATGGGACTCCTCAGCAGTGCGCATCCACGATCCCGTACCACGCGGGGCTCGAACCCAGGACCTACTGGCTCCGCGCGCGAGCGGTGCGCGCTGCTGAGGATTTCCACAATAGGATGAAACGGCCATCCAGTGCTTCCAGGTTTTTAATGGTGGTCTGACATCAATCGGTTCATGATCTCAATCAAAAACTATACATTTTTACTCTGTTTTAATTATTATAGAACCTAATTTCAGTTTATTTTTTTTAAGTGCTTGATTTCCTTAGTAATAAAAAAGTTATAATTGGATATAACTTGAAAAGATTTAAATAACTGATTGACTTTTTTATTATTAATGAATACCAGAAAGGTTGAGAAAGATATTCATTTCCTTTTTTGTTTTTTTTCTAAGTATAACATATTTTCAATCTTTCTTTTATTGGTTTCTTTTTTCCATCAGAAATGTTTCATTTATGTCATTAAATTAGATGATAGTTTATTCTTTGAAATCATATTCGGCTTCAATTCAAATTATTCATCATGATAAAATAATTTATTTGCATTTATTATATTTAATAGTTTGAGATAGAAAATTCGGCATTTTATTTATATATTATCTAAGATTAGTGTTCATGCCAAGTTAAACCACATTTCTGTGAGATATATATTAATATCAAAAGTTAAACATTAATATCGTTAGATGTCGGCCAAATGGTCTAGAGTTTAAGCACTCGCGTGCGAGACTGATAGGTCCTGAGTTCTAATCTCGCGAGGTGGGATCTCTGGACACTCACTGCTACAGAGTCTTATCATATGATGAAATGACCTTCCAGTGGCTCTAGATTTTCCATGGTAATCTAGCTTCAATTGACTCATGATCTTAACCATTGAAATTCGAAAGTTATTGTCTACCAAACAAATATGAATACATAAATCATTCAAATAGCGAAGAGGTAAAATGTTAAATTGTGGATTATTGATTTTGGTTTGTCGGAGTGATGTCTTGAAATGATTTACATTAAGTCAGTTGTTTAGACTAATTTTATAGTAGATGTTGTTTTGTAAACGTTTTCTATTGAAGCTTAAATGAATGGATTTATTAAAGAAAATAATTGAACATATGTTACTGAATTAAAATGTATTAAATATTCTTATACCTTCAAATACGCTTTCGTTTCTGTACACAAGAGTCTATGATCATTTAAATTTTCATTTTTTGTTTAACTTTAAAGTTGATCAACTACAAAATCAATGGGATTCAGTTGAACAACAAATGATTGAACGTTCAGAAAAATTAGATCAAATGTTATCTGGTATACAAACTTTAAAAGAATTAGAACGTGATGTTGAACGAGAAATTAGCAAAACAGAAGCTGATTTACAAAGTATTGATACATCAAAGAATCAATCGAATGATCAAAGTTTATCAACTTCTAGAATTCTTGTTATGACTCCAGAAACATGTCGTAAACATTTACAAGTATGTTGCTTCATCATAATTTACATATTCGATGTAATTTATTCTTTATGGATGCAATTTTTATAATTTCACGAATTAGGTGTACAACTTTTGTTATTGGTTTAGAAATATAATTAACTCACTTCAGTCAAGCACTTAAAGTAATCAGTCCCTTTTATAAATTTTGATAGAACACTGAGTTGTGCTAATAAACTTTTTGGATCGACTCCGTCTTCAGTCAGATAGTATGTTTAATTACTGAATGATAATCAATGCCATGTTATTTATTCCTTGATATTGAATAAATTCTCGATGAAATTTCAATGCTATCCGCCAGTCCGTATGACTTGATGTTGCAAAAAATTGATATTATGTGATTAGAAACAGTCAAAAATAAATTATGAATCTAGATTTCGTCAGAACTGTCTAGTTTCAATCTTGGAGTAAGTGACGATGCTCGAGTGAATTTGAACTTATTCATCTCATAGTTGCCATCATCGAATACTTGAACTGAGAACAATTGTTTTGGAGACCAAGATCTCTTCAGAAAACATTTAATGCTAGAATAGTTGAATGATAAATTATGTAACGGTTACACTGAGTGATGTAAATTCTAATTTTTCAAAGGGTACATTAAGAAAAATATTTCAGTTGATTATGTTTGATCACTTAGAATCAAATAAATCTCTCACATTGAAAGCAGTATTTTATACCGAATACAACGATTTATAATTTATAGCCAGTAAGAAAATGATTCGATCTTTTGCTATCTTTACATCATTTCATGTCCTTGTTTGTTTTGTTTTTTTCTGCTAACATTAACAAACGGTAATGCTTTAAGAAATAACAAAAATTTGCCCTATTTTCTAACATATTTTAAAGATAAACATATGCTTAATTGTAATTCAGTAAATATCTAATTTTTAGTTTTCTTAAAACTAATAAGAGAAGTTCATTATCAAAGAGTTTATAAGTGTGAGAAACGTAAAAAGAAAAACATATTTATCTTATTTAAATCTTTCATAAAGCATAGAGTGATTAAATAATTGATTAATAAAATACTGAAGTGATTGATATAATAAAAATGATCAAATTTGAACAGAATTGATAATTGAACTCTTAAATAAACAAACTTTAGAAGATAGAACCACTATCTGATTGAATGAATATTTAAGGAAAATCAGTGTTACCGTTTACATATAATATTATTTAATCAAGCTACTTGATTGACAACAACAACAACAAAATGAGTATTCAAGCATCAAAATCAAGGTCACAAATCAATGAATATCCCTTCATCATTTCATATTAGTTTAAAGTAGTTATTATGGTTTTCACTTAAATAATAAGTGAGTATATGTTCAGAGAAAAAAATAATACATAGAAACAAATACTATTATGGATTTTTATGATTCACACCACTGACGGATATTATACAGAAATTAAAAGCTGGACAGTGTTGGACAGATTAACTAATTGAAGTAAGGTCTATACAAACTGTTTAAGCTTTAACTGCTAGGTCGAAATGTGTTTAGTTTAGTTCTGGTGTAACCACGGATGTGTACTAATGAAGAATCTCATACTAAAATAAAACAGTTATTTGATGCTTCTAGGTTTTCAGTGATTACGTAGTTACTAGTAACTGGACCTCTTGTAAGACTGCAATGTATTTACAATTGATTGATCACTGAGTAGTGACCATTATCACGTACATCAAGTCCTTCTTAGTGAGTGTTCATAATGTGAACAGTGAAATTCAACAATCCTCTATAACAATATTACCGATTTTTTCTTCTCAGTATTTTGTAGTTGATTTCGTAATAATGCTATAAACCTGATTATATGGATAGTTCTGATTTTGGATTTCATTTATCCTTAACAGATATTATTTATAAAAATTTTCATATCTTGAAACATATGAAATAAAATCAATTTTCCACTATAAAGTATCTTAGTAACAATTTTTTTAAAGAATGCATATGATTATTAACTGACACAGTTAATTATCGTGAAATTCCATTGCTTCTATTGTAAATTGTCACATTGGCAAAACTCTAATTTATGGACGACCCAATCAGAAGCGTTTGAGAAATTTCAAGATTACGGCGCCAACTTCAGTACTTAGTGCTAACGTACGTTCGCATCACACGGAATTTTGTACAAAACGTGATAATTGAGCGGCTATAACAAATAAAACGATGAGACTATAATTTGTGGACGAATCAATCAGGTATAAGATAATAGATCTCGCATTTTGGCACAAAAGTCTTTCATCCATTTGGCTCAATAAATTTCTGGCATTATAGCTGATGTCAGTTCGTGATGAAAACCCTATATATAATTCCTAATTAAGGCGAATCACGACAATTATCGCGAACTGGATAATAAAAGCACCACTCACACTGGCTGCAACCGGGTGCTTTAATATATACGGATGTTTTGAAAGCGTACAGACTCCTACATAGGCTTGGTTATGTGAATCGTGTCGTTATCCACAAGTAGCATTTTGTGCACTCAACAACCGGAGTGCACGTCAACAGTACTGAAACTGTGTGGTCGAGACTGAAAGAGTTTTTGAGACTTTATCATGGCTCCGGAGGCTGACTATTCTGTAGCCATATGGATGACTTCCTCTACTGCATGCATTACGATTTTAGAGCCTCTGAACCTCTTTCTAACCTTAACGAGTTTCTGAATCACGTATAAGAAGTGTATCCACTTTATTTTCTTGGTTTTGTATAACATCTTTTTACTCTATATTTACTGTTTATCGATTGGCTAATATTTGTTAAGCTCAAATAAAGTTTGTTCAAAGGTCATCCATAAATTAGAGTCTCGCCGTCACATTTTGTGTTGAGTTATTTTATGTTTATATGAATTTACTTACGAATTACTCTCAATATATATATATATATATATTTTGTTAATTTTAAACCCATCAGTAGTCGAAAGTTTGTTACTTAGATTTTTCCTTTCCTTTTCAATCATAATTAATTTTTATATCCGTAAAAAATTAGTTTCATTTGTCACTTATTCGGCTATATGTATTTGATACAAAAGACTATTTGAAAGTAAAAATCAAATCACGTGAACATTCAATCGTGTAAATCATTTGAATGAAACCTATGTAATTTGGTGAAATATCTCTTAATCACAAGATGAAATTTATGAATAGTTTATTAGTTCTATACTTACTGTTTAGTATTATCCCATAACGTGCATGACGAATATTTTATTATCATGAATATATTTATGTATATTTACTAATGAAAACTATACCACATCGTTGGTCGGACAGATTTTTTAAAATAATCTTAAGGTTTTCTAGCGATAAGTGGAGTTTTGTGATTATTGATATGTTTATTTACACACTCCTAATGTAATGAATGCTACTCACAAGATTGCTTGTAAGTAGCCTGTTGCGAAACGTGACCTCAAAGTTGTCGGACGTAGCGAAGAGTTTCAATACAGGAAAAGCACGGTATTGACAGAATACTTGAAGGTAGGATGAGAAGACAGTTTGAATGGCAGGACATACTGAAAAATCAAAATGGACGATTGAAATCTATGTGTATGTAATATGTTAATACTTTATAACACAAGATTTGCAAACTTTCTGCCTATTGCTTTCTTTTACATTAGTACATTATGGCTTTACAGTACATTTTCTGGGTTTTTTCTAAATGATTCTCCAGCTGCTATCAGTAGGTGATGAAGAATGTTAACGGTTTTCATATGGCACTGAAGTAATATGTCTTTAAATTGTTAATTTTACTCGAGTGTTACATTCAGATATCAATATTCTAATAGCCATTACATTTTTACACTATATATTATTTAATTAATTCAGGAACTGATCGATAGTTTGCCGCAAAGATGTGCTAAGATTAAATTATATCAAAAAGAATGTGAAGCATTAATTAAACAGTTCCCTACAGAGAATACTAGTCGGATACGTGCTGACATGGAACAAACAATAAAACGTTGGAATGAACTAGAAAAATCGTAAGTGATTTCATAATGAAAAGTTTGTATTAAATAAATGAGTTTACATGAGTAGATACTAGTAAATGAAACTGTATAGAAGCTGATTGATATAAATAATTGAACTAGAATTTCTTTTTGTTCTTCAGTTTAATTATAGGTTAACATGGGTCTAATATAAGGTCACATTAATATAAACCTTTTGCTTGATAATGAAGAGTCTGTTAATTAGGTCTCGAGTGAGAAGATTACACTAACTAAAGATGTTTACATACTACCAAATAAAATAAAAATAGGTTTTTGACACATTAATTTAATCAAAACCAGTCTCAAAATAGCATATACATATATCGTCTAGTCGTTAGTAATGATTACTTTTAACATAAAATCATTATAAGGCATGAGTAAAGTTAATAGAAAAGTACATATGGTAATCTGGAAGAGAAAAACAACAAAGACAACAATGAATCCTTAACTCACTGATCTTATGAGATACAATTATATTTTAAAATGAAAGTAATCAATAACAATTATCAATAAACAAATATGACGACTGAGCCGGCATCCAAAGGTGTTAATGCCTAACTTCAACTAATCCATGTGCGACACATTCACCATTGTCCTCAGTGAGTTACTGTCTCACAACTGACCCCGTTGAACCCCACTGGTCCTGGAGTCGGATCCTGTGAGGTGGGATCGTGTATGTGCACTGATGAAGATTCCTACAATGGGACGAAACGGCCGTACATTGCTTCCAGGTTTTCCATGGTGGTCTAGTTTCGATTGACTCATGATCTCAAGTATTGAAATTACTATAATCTCCATAAAACTTCTGAAAGTAAATATGAATTAAGTATAGTACTACTAATAGCAACATTAATGTACCGAATAGGTAATTTTCATAGATAAGACTTACTTTATTTTTGCTTATACTTTTCGCTTAAGGAAATTCCTATTTCATAAAACGATTGTAATTATGATAGTAAAAAGTTTGATTGTTAATATCGAACTGATTAGTTAGTTTCATTACTATTATTATCATTATGATTATTAGATTTAAATTGTGTACATTAAAAGCAAATGTGTACTTTTTCTCCTATTCTTTTGTATAATTTTATTTGTTTAAATATTGACTTTGGGATTATTTCTATAATTCCCCAAATGTATAGCTTAGTTATTTACCAATGTAATGACAATAACCACCTTAGTAATATCATGCATTAATTCATCTTTTGATAATATAATAGAACTTCTGAATAGAAAAATTAATGAATTCATATGACCTAAATTAGGTTTCTGTTTCTTTTTTTCAAGAATAGTTGCATGATAGTACGTTTCTTACTCACTATGGAACAAGTTAATCTTGTCTCTCCTTTTTTTAGACTAACAACCATTGCTAAAAGCCAAATTAGTATTATTAATGATATTAAAATAATTATCATGGTATATATATGTGCAAACGGGACTCGTATGTGATATGGTCATTTAATTCAATTAGAAAATAATTATAAAATAGATATCCTGAGTTTCTGTCAACTTGTATAGCTGCTTCAATGCATACTTTGTAGTAATGTATAGTATTAGGAGGGGGGTTCAGTTACACTTAGCATACTGTTGATTAACCTGGATTCACTTTTGTTCATTGTGTCTTAAAATCTATTGGTTGAAGATGATTTTTATCATGAACGCACATATGAAATAGAACAGTTTAGTAATGTATGGAACACTAGAAATCTGTTTTATTTTAGTCCGAAACTACTCGGTAGTGTTGAGCGTTCATGAATTTACAGAAGATCTAATTCAAAGTCTTCAGACTATGTGGAAAGTATAATACTAGCATTCAGTTGTTCATATTTTGATATATATCATCATCCAAATTTAACCCTGTCAGTGAACTACTATCTCACTACCGTTTTAATTGAATTCCACAACTGTGGATTTTTCTCGAAACTTTAAGAAATCCATTTCAATATTAATCAGAAGTTGAACTTAATATCATCATATATATAAATATATAATTACTAGTCTATAATTTTGAGTAGTCTTGTTGTAAATTAATGCAACCTTATTTATCACTAAGTGATTTTTTAATTAAAGCTTACTAAATTGCATTAAATTGATAATTACTTACGACGGTATCCATTAAATATTAAATATTGTTTTGTTTTGATTGGAAAAAAAATTAGAAAACTATATTTATTTGAAAATTATAAAATTCCATCTATTAAACCTGTCCAATTATAGATCCTACGATTTTGTACACAACCTTATTCGTCCGTAATCTCTTTCTAAACTCACGTAATTCACTAAAAATAGGAATATTGTAGTCAGATAGTATACATCACTGATGTATACAGTTAAGAACTCTAGATAATATGAATGATAATCCAAATATACTGTAAAAAAAATGTTTCCCTATAGTTTTGAAATATATTCTAGATTGCTTTCAAAAAAAACACAAAATTATTCGTAGTGATACAAATACATATTTTCTATATAAAACTAATATTTAATTATTCCACATCCATCCTAACTGACTAAATCATTAATAAGCTAGTCAACGTAATCAACTATTAAACAAATTTATTTACAGTAAAGGAATTAAATACAATGGACAATCACATGATAGAGTTCAAACTCATGTAGACTAATTTTTAACGGCAGTTGAATCTGATATAACTTGTGGCCTGTGTACCCTGCTAATGTATACGTAATGATACCGCTAATTAGAGAGCAGTGAATTATCGATCGGACCAATGACACATAAAACACGTACGAGCAGTCTATAGTACTTAACCGTCCTGCTTCCTGCCTAGCCAAACCAGTTAAGTCCAGAACACCAATCTCAACCTCTGAGGTATGAACAATTTATTTCAAGCATACTGCGTTTATGTACCAACCAGACAGACCACATCGTACCATAAAATAGAAAATAACATTTATACAAGAATTAGCCAAATATGGCTGTGAATGAGGGAGGTAGTAATTAATAGACAGGGCATAATCCAAGAATGATAAATCGTATAATAATAGTTCATAGGTCAAAATAAAGGGACATTTATATGAATAGTTTAGTTATTAAACGATTATATGGAAAAAATATACGCATATCATTGGTCCACAAATGGGTCGCAAAAGTTACCTTTCATTATGCTTATCGGGACATAGCAGAATCTTAATATAATTGTGTTAAAAATCAAATCGTTATTACACTTCATTTATTGTGTAATACAAAAAACTCTTTTTTAAACAATTATCTTAACCAGTTATCTTTTAAATATTTTCTTTAAAAAAATAGAATTAAAAAAACTAAAACTCTCTATCTTCATGAACCATTACCACAAGTAAATGATCATTTTAATGAACAACAAACTAAATTAAAAGATCGAAGAACATCCAGTTCAGATGGTATACGTAAACCAACATTAAATGAACAATTAGAAATGATAGAGAATAAATTTAATCAAATATCCAAACTGGAAGCAGAATTAAATCAATCTGGTTCAAATATGGATAATCAATTATTAACTGAAAAGAGAGCACATCTTGTTACAGAATCACAAGTATTTATTCTATTTTATTGTATCATCTATTTATTTTGTATTATATAATTCAATCATTATATACAATATATATATATATATATATATATATATATATATATATATATATATCTACTATGAAAATAATTTAATACTAAAATAACAATGCTTTTTATACAGGTTAGAATAATAATATAAGAAGAATAAAAAAAGAAGCAGTTTAGTTATCAGAAATCAATATGTGATTCATTATATATCATTTTTAAGCTAACCCTCTTCCGATATTGAATAACAAGAAAGTTCAATGTGATTTTTGTTCAAATCTTAAATTTAAAACATAATATCGTTTCATTCATTTTCTATCGTTTGTTTGAATCTTTCCATTGATGTTTAAGATTGAAATTGATTGGTCTTTTATTGGCATATATGCATCCTGTACGGATTACCTCGAGATTGCTTTAAGTCACAAGCATTATCAATAAAAATGGATGGTGGCTAGCAGTGGAATTGAGGACGCGCGTTTCGTACTATTCGGAACTCATTAACTGGATGTATCTGCATGCCATAGTTGATGTTTACTCCGAGACTCCGTTTTATAAGTTCAAACACTAAACAATAACTCAGAACTTGATAAAATTTATTCATTGATTTAGTTTCAAGGTTTTAAACTAAATATTACTTTTGACTTTTGTCAAATATTTGTCTGAAAATTAAATGATACCATTATATGTAAAACTTTTTATTCGAAATAAGCTTACTGATTGAAATTTAAATAATTCGGATGTTTCACCAGTCAAACTGATATGAATTTCCTTCAAGAGATGTATGTTTGAAGTCCGATCTATGTCAGACTGATCGTTCTAATTTTGATGAGTACTCCTATAATTGATTTAAATGATAGTCACAAAGTTTCCGTAACTGATCAAATAAGGCCATTTAAAACATAAATTTTATTTGAACAATTCAAAGAGATCTGTAGAAATGAAGAACTACGTATTGATCTCATTTACGTTTGTAGGTGTGCACCATTGAATCATCCTAAATGACGATAAAACAACTATCCAGTACCTAGTGATTTATATCAGTAAACAAACTGATGTCAAACTATGATACAGACTTTTTTAAAGTTTAAAAGAAACCACTACAAATTGCTTGTTAATTGAATAGCTTTGTTTTCGGATCACTGCATTTGTAGTTCCGTATGGAATTCATTCTATCGGTGTCAAGTACTTCTATTTTTAAGAGAGGAATATTAGTAAAACTCATCAAAGTATATCAAAAAATCGTTTTTTTTATAATTCTTTTTTTTCTACGATTACCAATACTTAATCGTATAAAATAGTAAAATTTTAACGCTATAAAATAATTACGGAATATTTCAAGTTAGTTTATCAGCTTAATGAGTATGTACCAAATGACTGTTCCTGATATTCGATCTAAATTAATATGACTTTTAAAAAAAAGTACATTAAATGTTTAAGGATCATTCATAGATTTCATGACAGTCTGATGTTATTCTTACGTTTTTATTTATAATCTTAAACCATTTTATCCAACGTAGTCTTACCATCATTATCATCTTCACCTAATTATTATCAAACTCAGTTTGTTGATCTCACCATATTTTCTTAAAACTGTTTAAAAATTCTCATAGAATTTTCAAAAATGGAGAATATTTGAACGGACGTTTGTTTTCAATCACTTCATCATCAGGCTCCATAATTATGATATTTTACAAAGGTCAAAATAAGGCATGTATTAATGAATTTGACAATGTGATATGCTAAAAATAGTGGATGTTTGCATCTGTTACGACATAAATACTTTAAAATCATTAGAAAAGTCATTCAATAAAGGTCAGAATAATTTAGACTAGTGTCAAGTCACAATCAATATAATAATAACAAGAAAGAATATCGTGTCAATAAAATGCATAGTAGGAGAATTTCATCTTGTTAATCGAGGTAACGATGATAATAATAATAATAATATCGTTGTGTGAATATAATATGTAATAAGAGGGGTGCTATCAAGGTAATTACGATTAAAAAGGAATTCATACGAATTGAGAAAGATGGATGTGAAGAATAGGAGAGACATAAACGCGAAAGGGATTGGGAGGGGATATCAGAGGTTTATAATATTCATTTTAGGTATCCGGTGATGCAGTCGTAGGCTAAGGTAAACATAGAGGCTAGACATACCTTTTGTGGATGTATAATTTCGGTTTTCTGGAGTTGATCCAGATGGCTTCGGCTATGTAGAGTAGCCGTGATCTAAATCACCGGGGTAGATTCTTTGGAACTTGATATAAAGTAGAGAAAGCTTCCACTGTTTTGGTATGGTGTTCACTATCTACCAAATGAGAAAGAGGAGTATTGTAGTAACCCCTTTTCTCAATCATGCTGGCACATGTTTTCAAACACACTAGGATAAAACCCTCTGAGTACGGCCTATATAACTAGCTCCATAGGAGCAGTTGAATTGGTGATAGATGCAAACATTCGCCATTCTTTCTGAGTTGTTTGGTTTTTGCTTCTTGTTTTTCTAACTGATGGATATTAAATTATTGAAATGGTGGAGAAGATTTGTAGCTCAGGTGGAGTTTTGTTCTCTGAGCTGGATGGTTTGGTCGTGGAGCTTTCATCGTTCTTCTGAACGACATCATCAGAACAAACTTCAGGTAGAAGTGAAGTGTTCGAATTTCTCCATATGTGTTTCACAGCTTGTTCTGTGCACCTCGATGTTGACTGGTTCTCATTGACCTTAAATTTGTCATTGTTTACTTCCTTGTTTTGGTTGTGTCTCCCATTGGTTTGATTTTTGTTCTTATATTTGTGCATGATTTCTCTGATTGGTTGGTAAATTGGATTGATTTCAATATGCTTGTTGATTGCTGATTGACCTGAATGCCAGGCTTCTCAAAATTCTCTGGTGTTTTTGGAGTTTCCTCTGTCTAAGATTTCCACATTTTTCCAATCTAATGAGTCTCCGCAGTTGTCATGACTAAGTCAATCAATGCATAAAGCATTTATTAGATTTGCTAACTTAATCTGTATACTTCTGAAAGGAATTGAAATTAAATTCTACAGCATTGTGGCGTATGTGAAAAGCAAACAGTAGTAGATATCTATTTTTTGTAGAGTGAGACTTTCTCATAATGTTTATTCTTTATCACATGTTTATTTCCGTTAGAAACTTTCAGGTTGTCAATCAATACAATTTCTAGTCAGCTGGTCTACAACTAACCAAAAGTTTCTAACTACAGGAAATTCATTTTATGTGACCGTCAGCCGTCTTAACTAATGACAAATATTAATTCCTTCTGTTTAAACAGTCACGGTAATAATAAACAGTATCGGTGATGTTAGAAAATATCTGTCATCAAGTGAATACTTGATTGTTTCGTAGCCCTTCTGAGCTTGATACGATTCCATATACCATTCCTACTTTATGTGAATTATTTATTTATAACTTTCTAGTATGGAGAAAATAGTTCGTTATGAAATCTATTGTTTAGATAATCCGCTTGATTTGCATTCACTTGTTATGAGAAAAGAAACTCATCTCCTTGCAGCTGAATTGATAAGTTTGCATAAATTGAATAAGAGTCATTATCAAAGACGGAAATCTCAAGTTAGGAAGTTAATTTGTTCCTTTTATTCTTTTTGGTAGTTTTAAATAAACACTTTAATGACTTTATCTCCTAAAATCGTACTAAAATAATGAAGTATTTTTACTTTATGAAATTATAAAACGCTCTTCTTTACGCTTTCAGTATTACTATCTAATTCATTGCATACTTGAATGTATGCTATGAAAACTAACTCTTTAGATGGAATGCAGATGATGTTAGCGATTGATTATTGCATAACCTAACAAATGCACAAGAGATTAACTGTATTACATTGATTTAATTGATGTCATATTATACAATATGCAATTTTATTTATCACTAACAGTAAGACTAAGTAAGAAGGAATGATAGTGTATTATTTAGGTTACTGAAATCAATAGGTATCTATAGATAAATCTCATACTATTAAAAATCAATATGGCCTAGTTCTTAACAAACAGATAATCCACATAATTATGACTATTTCCTATCCCTAATCATATTTTTCTACATCAAACTCAATCACACTTTCTTTTATTGATCTTTGTTTGATAGAATAAGTTCTCAGTATGGGGTCGTGGAGATTGTTGCTTTTGATTGAGATCATGCATCGATCAATGTTTATTCATCATTGAAAACCTGGAAACAATGAACGGTGGTTTCGTCCTAGTACAGGAGTCAGCAGCGTGCATCCACGATCTTACACATGGCACTTGAACCCAGGACATCCGATCTCGTGCACGAAAACCTAAACCCTAGATCACTGAGCAGACATTTAACTATGTCAATGTCAAACTTTAACCAATCCATTAAATTGAGCTACCATCTCTCATTGTCCTCGGCAGGTAACTGTTTCACATCCGACATGGATTTGGTCCACTGGTCATGGCTTCTCATTAGAACTACGACAATCGCCTATCGAAGCTAGTTACTATTGAGCGGGATTGTGGATGCACACCAGTGAAAAGTCCCGTACTAGGATGAAACGGCCGTGCTTCCCAGTCTTCAGTGGTGGTTTACCGTTGATCGATTCATGATCTCAATTAGTATAAGTTCTGCCAAATGAAAACATTTAAATAATGCGCTATATAAACTTTGATTAAATTATTTTAGCAACTTGAAGATTTTTGAAAATTTGTCACTATGTGAATTTTATTAACTAAATAGAGAAATCAAATAAATTAAATTTTAGATCTAATCCATATGCTTCATTACCTTATAGCAACGTATGGTCCGAAATGAAATAAAACTTCCAGATGTTAATTCTAGAACTTTTTTAAAAAGTTTACTGAAGTATCAGATTGTCATGATTCAACATGATCCTGTGTTTGATCAAATCTATTTTGAGTTACTAAATCAACAATAAAATTGTAAATACACAGTATTGAACAGTAAACAATGTGAATTGATACTTGATGAAATATTATCTAATTTGTATTTTGATAATGATCCTCTGAATTTAAATAATTTCATATCATTAAAACAAAAAAGAACATCAGTTACCTATAATAGGTGATAAACAATCAATATACAGATTTTAGCTAACAGTAGTATCCTAGGTTTCATGATTTGTTTTGATTTAGGCTCATGAGATGCGTATATTTAGAACTTAATGTTGATGCTCAATTAAAAACGATTCGTTAGCTTAAAAAGAGCAGTAGTTCGAAGTTTTAAGTAACATAATAGTCATGAGTGATGCTCTAAAAAATACATGTAGATCGGGCTACTATGCCCTATACAAAGTGAGTCAGAGAAACTACCATGAAATACTTAGTTACATATTCTATTGATGTCATAATTTTCTTTACTTCCGTTCATTAATTTTCCTCATTTTTTGTTTTAAAGACACTACAAGCAGAAATTAATATGATCGCCACACAAATAGCCAGTAGTGCAAAATCTTCAGCACAAGCATTAAATGTTTTGCCTAATCAAGAATTTTTCAGACGTTTACGTCAGTTAAGAGATAAAATTGCTAATTTACGGTAAGTTTATGGTGAAAAGAATTTAGATAATAACTATTAACTTGTTTATTTTTTGTAAGATAGCTAATATTTTTTTAGACATCTTATTGACTTATAGGATGTTTTCAATAATCATGTAATAACATCTATAGAATTATCTTTAATTGACGTGTATTTGATGGGCATTTTTTCTTGATAAAAATCGCACTGTAAAACTTTAAATCTCTTTATTATCAATTCAGTAACTTTCAATTATCATAGCACATCTGTTGCCCTTTATTCGTTTATTTGAAAACATAATCATTGATACAAAAGGGTATCAAGTCAGTCAGTCAGTAACAACAGAACTTTGTTCGTACGTACATCTGTTCGAGTTGCCATACCACATTAGCATAGAGATGCAGTTGTCTTTTCAAATCCCATAGCAGTAATCAGAAAAATTAGGGTTTAAAGATGTTGTTCTAGGAGTATAATCCAGTGAAATAAATTTGGAAAAAGAAAAAAAGGGACACAAAGAATTCATAAGATTAGAATTTGGGACAACACAAAGAGTGGATGCACCTGCGCCATTGCAAACGATTTTGAACCATCTCATTCAATGTCTCTAACCATCGGTTGCTATCATCTCACGGATCCCGGTTGTTAGCGAAATTATCACGGAAAAAGATGGATACATTATTCATTCTCAATCCAGAAGATTGGATCGATGGGCAGAACGCTTTATGGATCAGTTCAACTGGCCTTCAGTCACACTTCGGTTTCTCACGATCTCCAGACGACCTAAATGGCAAGTTAATGTAGGTCCTCCAACTCTTTACGAGGTTGTAAAAGTTATATACAATCGGAAGCATGGGAGAGCAGCAGGCCCTGACAGGTTTACTCCTGAGATTTTCAAGAATGGTGGTCTAGTCTTAGCAGTGGGATCGACTTCTCGTCTGCCCACACCGTGGAAGGGAGTTTCTCGAGGAGCCTGAAAAGGAAGTTGGATTAATGTTGGTCTCAACGACCTGGAAGCATGACCGCGGAGCCAAAGGGACAACTGCTTGAGGCCGGTCGCGCAAGAAATTTTTGTGGGAGATTTTTGACATGTTAGCTCCGTTTTTCAAAGGGCCTTACCGCCGGAGACGGAAATCCGTGAGTTAAATTTAGGCGTGACATTTTTAGAACATATCTTTTCAAACCCCTTCCTTCCTTGTGAGAAGGCAGCATCGCTGCAGATGCTGGTTACCCGAGGTAAACACCTTACTGCTGTCACATTTCTCTACAGTCAGCAGTACGACTTCGCCCTCAGACCCTGTGTGACTACTTTTAGTCTTACCGTTCTCCAATCAACCTGCCTGGCATGATAGAACCTTCAGGAACATATGTTCCAGACAATATAGCTCGGTTGGGTTATTGTGATAGGCAAGGAGGACCATCACGTCAAGGTAGCATCTAGGGTTAGGGTGGTATCAAGTACATATGCGCCATACAATAACAGTGAGGCTAGTAGTAGTTATCAGTAATTTGTGTGATGGCTGTCATACTGCTTGAGCGCCTAAACCGAAGAAGGTGGTTTACTTAAGGGACCATACCCCGAGTCCTTCACCTAAAGGTCTAATCAACAAGACAAGAAAGCAACGTTAGGAGATGCAGTACCATGGTAGCCGGTGATCAACAATAGGTTCATACACCATTTGTTCCTTCAGGATCCTTGAACCCATGTGCATCATTGGTTGGGAATCAGGGTTTTCCAACTCCACTGATATAAATTATGTACATGTATTTCGTTTTAATGGTTTGTATTGTGGTTTCAGATTGTAAACAGCTGAGGAGGATCCACGAAATAAATGAGTTCATATTTTTCTGCTACGACATTTGTTCTTTCTTTATTCAAATCTATAAATTGGAAAAGTTGTATGTTATTAATATGAATTGCCAAATAAATAATGACTTTGCCAGAACCTCCGAAATCCTCAAAGTTCGAAGACAGCCATTATAGTAATGTTAAAATCTATTCACCTGATGGTTTGAGCACTCAGTTACATAAATGACATCAGTATTAAAACAGTGTGATGCATAAATTCACTTGGTACTGTTTACTTAAATCTTCCCATTGATGTTTAGGACTGAAATTGATTAGTCTCTTATTGACATACGTGCATACTGTGCGTATTGCCTCGATATTGCCTTAATTCACAAGCATTGTAAGTAAAGATGGATAGTGGCTAGCAGTAGAATCGAGGACGCGCGTTTCGTCCTGCTCGGCACTCATCGAATGGATGCACCTGCATCTCATGAGTTGATCCTCACTCTGGGATTTGAACCCAGTATAGTTGGAGTCAAACACCATCACGTTATCCACTTAGTTACTGAGTCCGGATAATCCTGATGACTTAAGGCAATATCGATGCAGTCCTTATAGGATGCACATGTACAGATAAGTAACTGATCAATTCAAATCCTAAACATCAATGGAAAGATTCAAACGAACAATACAAAGTAAATTCTGACTTCAACGATATTTAGAATATTTGCGAACAACTCATTATATAATTTTACAAGAAATCTAAGAAGTTTAACAATGAAGTGGATGTAATCCTTACTCCGTAGGTTATGATTATAAATAATAGAATGATAAAATTGGAAAAAAACGTTTAAATACTTTGGTTACCAAGTACAATGAAGGATAACTTCATACACCTTTCGAGTACAAAGTTCATGTTTAAGCCTTCTAATCGCAAGGGTTTCAGTCAATTTTAACGATGTAGTTTCGAACTGTTTGTTGATTACTTTGTACCCAATCATACCATCCGCTTTATATACTGTCCCCATAGGATATTTCGGTAAATGTCACACATCAACGTATTTATACTCTTGTTCAAATTAATTTTCCAGCTTTTCTAAACTTCTTCATAGCACTGGTGTCATCTTTTGACTCAATAATAGCCTTTTTTTCTGTACTTATACTAATCTGAAGTACAGCTTATGTCGTACTATTGGGTTTTAATCGGTTCAATGTGCAAGGCTTGTCGTATTTTATGTGTTGACTGAGATTGTGGTGTCTCAAGTACTCAATTTTCAACAGTTTCAAACTATTGTTTTATAAATATTTCAAAGTTTGTTTGTTTAAACATCATAGTGTCAATTGAAAATTCGTTAGTTTCTTATATAAACAATATTTTTATGCATAACCAATTAAAAATAAAGCCTAATTTTTATGTGATAAATGGTGTTATCATATAAAATCGACATGTAGCCACACCTATTTTTTAAAACCGTACGGAGGCTATCAAATTTCTATAAAAAATAGGATTAAAAGTGAAATTCAGACCCTAATATCAATCAGCTTAGATCTTCATTCAAAGATGACTTGTATTATTCTTTTAAACAACACTATCGATAGCAAAACAACGATCATATATTCACATACTCCTAATATTTCTTAACCCATTATTTTTTAAGTGATTGAAGATATAGAACAGGGGATCCGTAAGCAAAGATCTCGTTCTAGCGGATACGCGTTAGGATTCAATATCATCAATACTGAAGGGATAGATGCCGTTCATTAGATTCGAATCCATATCCCCTGGTTTTATAATCAGAAGTATCATCACTTCATTGTTACGAAGAGGCTGACATCCTAATTCGTGACTTAACCCCATGAGCTTATGAATTCCTTCAGAAATGAAGGGAACAAACTAACATAAAGCACACGGACATTTTATCCAATGTTGTACTTACCCAACATTAATAAATAAGTGGGCCGTAATACTGAATTACCTGGTCTAGTGTAAATATATTTATATCCGTACGATTAAATAAATTCTTAATATGATTTGTAGTGATCATTTGTTAACATAAAAAATCCATACCTTTTCTAACCTTACTTTTATTTTACAATTTATCAACTAACCGTAAACAAAAGATTGTAGAAGAATTTCTAATTATTCTTCTTGTCTTTATTTTGTTTTACATTCATTTAAAGTCAATGCTCACTATTTATTCTCGTGATATTTTTTTTTGTTTTTGCTGTTGAATTGACAATTTGCGTTTTAATGCATTTAGACAAGAAAAGTATTAAAGTTTGCTTGTATATCTGTTTATATGTATGGATTTACAATTGTTATAACGATACACATCAATATGCACTAACACTTGATGACATTCAGAAAATATAATTATGCTAATGAAATTTCTTGACTGATTCCCGAATATTTTTGTAAATAACTTTACTAAGACGAGGTGGCATATATATACATATATATATATATATATATATATATATATATATATATATATATATATATATATATATATATATATATATGCTTTATAAACATTGTATTCAAACTACGCAGAACAGTGACATATATCCTTAAAATGTCAATAAGGCAATGATATTAAACGGTTAGTTATCAACTATATACATCATTATTATTATTAGTAGTAGTATTAGTAGTAGTAGTAGTAGTAGTAGTAGCAGTAGTTTAGTAATAGTAGTAATAGTATTGTAGTGAAGGAGAACACAAGTTAGGTCAACCGAATTACATTTAGCACAACATTACAGTTACTTGGTAAAACAGAAAAACCATACTATAATACCTAATTTGAAAATGTTCAATAATTGTTTCGAACTTCATTGTTCTTGCATTTCTATACTAATTGTTTTCTATCACCATTCTTCCTTTCTTGATCTTCCCTATTCTTCTGCTGCCAGACATAACATTACTGACTTGCGTTATATACTACTAATGTGAATATAAGTAGCACGCACCACAGTAGTAGTAGTAGTAGTAGTAGTGGTACTAATAATAATAATAAGAGTAGTATTAAGAGCGTATCCTGATGAGCAATGACATTCACATAGACAAACAAAGTGTTTGTTACTAAATTTAAAATACATCGAAATAAATCTTGCGTTTAGTTAGTTTTTTTGCTAGATTTTTCAAAAGTTGAAAAATAAAAGATTTTTAGTTCGTGAGCACATTCAAATCTCACTGTTCTTTTGAATATTGGACTTTACTTTCAACTTCGAATATTTTTTTTAAAAAAAATCTGTTATATATTTTTGAAAATTTATTTATTATTTGGATGATATTTAAAATTTTTATCTGGTTTAAATATATTTTATTGTCACTGAGTGATTTAAACAGGAGATATATTGAACTTTGAAGTATACTGAACAACTTCTTTATTTCAGTTTTGAACTTGTCAGCGGTGTGCGTTGGTGATGTCATATAAGATAAAACTTATAAGATGGTGAAGAAGATTTGTAGCTCAGGTGGATGATTTTGATTGAGTTTTGTTCTCTGAGCTGGATAAGTCATACAGTGATAAAGATGCTTTCAAACCATTGAATGGAAATTCAGTCATCGATATTATGAATTTTTTTAATTCACAAGTCAATACTACCATCATTCTGTGTTGAATCGTATTTTGGGTTGTGATTGTGTTCTGTTAAGGAATTCTAAACTGTTATGAAATAGCTCTTCAGTGTCCACTGTATTTCTTTGATTCATTAGCTTATTTCGTTTACATATTCTGGTTTCATTATCTTTCTGTTACTTCCATGCTATTGTACATCTAGTACAATGATTCTGTACGGTTTTAGATGTAGAAAGTCGATTTTTGTTAACGATGATAGGCACTCTAAGATTTATGGAGAAACTTTCATTTCCTTATTAGGTAACCACATTTAATGCGTTGACAGACAATAATTTTGGCAATTATATTCATTACTGTTATATTAGTTTACCAAGAAAATTATCTTTCCTTTGATGAATTATTTTACTTTAATGAACATATCAACAGTTTTAATATCTAATTGGTACTTTATTGTTTTCTGACATCATTACTATATAACTTAAAACGTTTGAGCAATAGTCACACAACATTATTGCATATAATAGAAAATCGAATAAGTTCTTCCTTGTGTTGAGAATGAAGTAGTCTGCAATTAATAATGAAATTAAGTTCATTATGGATCAGAGATAATATAATAAGCTTATCAACGAACATTCTATAACATGTAAGTATATATAAAAGGCCATTTCCATAATTCACTTATATCAGTTTTAGAATAACTGGACAGGTGTTTCAACACAGTTATAGTTTTCTCACCTCTTGTGTACAAACGATCATACACAAGACTTACCATTCAATGTTTATGAATGCATACGATTATTAAAACAAAAGTTGATTGTAATGATTCAATATCTCAACGTCAGTAAATTTAAAAAATAACTCAGCAATCTAATCGATGAATCGGAATCTTACTTCGAACATGATTGACTTCGTATGTCATAGGTCTTTGCTAGGATTATAAGAATCAATCTTGTAGCAATTCAGTGGTCATGACTCCTTAAATGCGGAATTATTTCTTCAATTTCTTCATTTCTAATAAATAAAAGAAATCGTTAAATAACTCTCACATTCATTTCTTCCCAATCTATTTCAAACAGACGAACGATGCAGTTGAATTCTAACCAGTCACATTTATATCTAACGAAATTAAAAAAATTAAATGATTGGTTATCACATAGAGATGCTGCATTTCATGAAATTCTTGTACCAATTCAAGGAGATATGGGTAATGTGATCAGCTTGAGAGAAAAGTTATTGGTAAGCTATTTCAAAAGAATGTACATGATAATTTTTCTTAGTTTTATTGAACGGTTACCGCAGTTTTAACGTTCGTTAATATATATATATATTACTAAGTTTATGTCACTTGTTTTAATTATCTGGGATCAGTGTAAAACTCGATTCCAATTACTTCATTATTCAGTGTTTCCTACATTTAGATGCTGTAGTGGTTGATACTAGTACATAAAAAATGTTTGAGTATTATGAACATCGTCCAATATTAACTGTTATCAATTTGTAGTTGATAACGATCGTCATCAAAATGTACTCATTATGTCATAAATGGATCAATAGTTGACTGAAGTTTAAAATGTGAATTATCGAAATCCGGGTTAATAGTTCAGTAACATTCAGCTTGGTATGAAACTTTCATATCTCAGGCTCAATTACAGATGTGATCTTAAGTGCACAGTAGTGAAGAGTGTTAAACTATTCGAAAACAAAACCAAGTATTTCATGATTTTAGATGGTTTTCTTAGTTTAAACTACTATTCAAATGGTTATATTTTCAGAAATTGTCTAACAAAGATGATCATTTTACTCGAAACTTATCTAGTACTTTGTGTTTAAACATTTCTTTACTCTCAGTAAATAATTGGAAAATTACTGTGAAAAAATATTAGACAAATGACTTTCCCCATTTATTTATGTTACGTTTGGTTAAAAAGATTAAACTTCTTTTAAAAAACAGTACATCAGTATCCTTCATATCGTCTTTTTACATACGCATATGCTATTCATTTTAAAACATAAACCATATAAAAACAATGGTGAATAAGATTGATCGAACAGAAAGATTTCTTAAAATTGGATTGTTTTGGTAAATTATGAACTAATAAGACTAGCAACGAATGTCACGAAAATAAACCTTGTAGTAGTATTATTAGTAGTTGTAGCAGTAATGGTTATCGTAGTAATAATGATTATATTGATATGTATTGTAGTAGCCTATGCTTTTCCACGAGGATTAACAGATGTAAGTAAGTAAACAGAGGGAAATATGACAATGAATCGATAAAAGATATTAAGATAACTTGTTTTGTACATCTTTTTCGGGAAAAAATATACTATATTTCACTGCTTACGTGAACATTATAAAACTAATAAACAGTATATGTACTGGATAGAAATGACTATACTCATTGTGTTGAATATTTTTCTTTTTCTCTTTGGTTATTATATTCGGTTGTTACATTTTCTGGTTCATATATATAAACGAATGAAATCTCTTATGTCATTAAACTAAATGAAGATGCCTTCATTTTATTTAGTTCATACATTTTTAATGATTCAAGTGGTTTAAACATTTTGTCGCATCAAAAACTGGGTCTATTCAATGAACATGATAAATGTTCTACTGAAACTAGGTAGATGAACTTATGACCGGATATCACAATTTTTATTAAAACCTGGAGAAATATAATAAAAAAAATAAATCGTTGATGAGGTCTTATAAAGATAACGTATTGAAAAACAGTCAAACGTAAATTAGTCAGACATTTCGGTGAAAGGAACAAAGATTTGAATAATACTCTAAGGCTAGGATGGCCAACAGCTTTCGATAATAACATCAAGCCACTTTCTTCACTCAATAAGATTATTATTCAGAGATCCTCTTATATTCTTGGAACTCAAAATTATGATACATGAAACATGGAAGGTGAAAAATATAGCCTTTGATGAATTAAAAGCAAATTCTGAACAATAATATCTGCGATAAATCAGCCATATTGTCACAAGTTAGGAGTAATTTAGCCTAAATAAGGTTGGTGTAGCCTGAAACTTGTAAAACATATTTTCATCTCTTTATTTCATGTATCCACTAGACAGATTACTTGTACAATCAGTTTTATGTGTCATACGCCTCTGAACAAATTTCAAGCATACAAAACTAAATAAATAGAATAATCGATTGTCTTTATAAAACACGATGAAATTAACGAAAAGTTATTTATTTTTATATAAGGCTTTTCATTTCAGTGCACTTAATTTTAATTTTGTAAGAAATTCAACGTAAAATCTATCAGTTTTCCTGACTAATTTATTAATCGGAGAGGGGTTTTCCGTGGTAGTCTAGCTTCAATTCATTCATGAATTCAACTAATAAATTATTATAATATCCACAAAACCCCTCTCTGACTATAATGATTATATACTCACTGGTGTTGGTCTCCATGAAGTATTTCCTAGAATTCTAGTGAGAAACCGTGACCAGTGTAGTTCAACCAGGTCTGTTGTGAGTTAGTAAATCACTGAGGACAATGGCGGACGGTTGAACGATTTTGTGGATTGGTTGAAGTTGAACATTAACACCGTTGGATGCCGGTTCAGAGGTCTAGATGTTGAGCATTTGCACGCGAGTTCGATAGGTCCTGAATTCTGAGGAGTCCTATACTAGGATGATGGTCAAGCTTCAATTAACGCATGAATTTTTTTGTAACATTTCTAATGAATAAATAAAAAATCATAAACTCAAGCTCAATATTTACTCATTATATTATCATTCTTTAAATGATACTTTAAACTTAATAAGAAACCTATTTTAAAAATGAATCATTTACTTAATAAGTACTTAGGTTAATTTCAATATTTCAATAAAAAAAACATGAATTCCTGCAATAAGGTTATTCAACGTGTTAAAAAAATAGTCCTTCTTTTATTGAGTTCTCTATTTTAGTTGAAGTCAGGCATTACCACCCTTGGATGCCGGCTCAGTGGTCTAGTTGATTAAGCGCCTGGCGCAAGGCTGATATGTCCTGGGTTCGAATCTTGCGGGGTGCGGAATCGTGGATGCGAACTACTGAGAAGGACAAACGGCCGTCCAGTGCTCCCAGGTTTTCCATGGTGGTCCAGCTTCGACTGACTCACGATCTTAACCATTGAAGTTCTATATTTATTTATTTATTTTCCATTGATTAATAACATTTCAATTTAGGTTCTTTGATTTTAAAGTAAACTACTGATTTCTTGTACACAGTCTGTCTTAATTGAAATAAGTTTATTTATTTATTTTTTGTTGAAGAACACAAAATTTTGTATTATGTTCATATTCAAGCTAAGGAATTCTGATAAACTTCGTCTTCTCATTGCATTATCGAAATTTATCAAAAGGACTAATTGTTTTAAATACTGAAATCATAGTATTATATGGTAAATTTCAATAATAATTAAGTGATAAACAATCAACACACAAGTCTGAAGATTCTATTAATTCTTAGAAAAATATAAATATTTTTGGATTGAATTATAATATGAAGTTATAAATTAGAAATGATGTAATATCCGGTTGCTATGATTATGTAATTACCCAATGAATCGGAGTTTGTATTAGTACATTAAATGATATAGTATATGCGAAAACTTTCTCAGATTATTCATATACTTAATATTATATAGGATTACTTTTTTTATTTTTTGTTAAAAAAGGGTTTATTTCAAGAACTTAATACAAATCGTTTACAAATTGAAGAAATTTTATGCCATCATAATACACAACATGATAATATAAATCAAAATAAATTAAATGTTTCAAATGAACGTGAAACAGAAATTGATTCAGATTTATCTGATTCAGGATGTAAAAATAATATAGAAGATTGTAGCTTACGAACTAATCGTCGTATAACACGTCATTTATATCATTTAAAGAAAAAATGGTTAAATTTAAATAATAATATGTTAGATTTTAAATGTCAACTTGATGGTATATGGGAGGTAAGTTACGTTTAAGATGAATTTCATATTATTATTTTTTTTTTAAATTATGTATTAATTGGATTTGTCAAATATTATCTTAGATACAGTGTCTAGTTTTGGATTACAACTTATTGTCCAACATGAATTAATTTTATGTATAACTAATGGATTTATGTTTGATCCATGTTAAGTATAGACGACATTATGACAATGACAGTAAATAAGACTGTTTGGTCGATTGATTTTAGTAAACATTTTAAGAAAAATTATAATAAGCCCTTGAATTTAAAATTCCCAAGTCTAAATCTTTTGAACAGATAGATTTTATTTTGACATTATGTTTTTGATTAAAATCAGGAGTCAATTGAAGCTAGACCACTATGGAAAACCTGGAAGCACTGGACGGCCGTTTCGTCCTAGTATGGGACTCCTCGGCAGTGCGCATCCACGATTCCGCCTCGCGAGATTCGAACCCAGGACCTATCAGTCTCGCGCCATGCGCTTAACCAACTATGGTAAAAAAAGTAGTTGGCAATAAATATTTTAAGAAAATTATTTAGAATCTTTGAATTCTATCTAAAAAAGTTTGAAATAAAAAAAACTGAGCAAATTCAACAATGGTGTAATTTGAAAGGTATTTTTTAAAATACCCACTTTTATTAAACAAACAAAGAATGTGAAAAGAGCAAGATTAAAGATTCTAATAGAATTGCATGAATTCATTTTATTTCGTTGGTTTTCGTCAACTGCTTACAATCTATGATGTTTAAAAATCATAATTACAAAGTGAGTTTAAATTTCATACATGGAAGCGTTTAGTTGGAAGTTATGTTGATGAGATATTAGTATGGCAATGGTGTAAATAAATTTACTTGATTGAATATTGTAAATACATAACTTATGTAAAAAAATTTTTACAGCATTAATTGTGACAACAGTTCAAACGGCTAGAAACAAGTGATTACATAATGAGTAAACATTGATAGGAATAGAGTGCGTAAAGCTTAGTTAATAAAATAAAATTGCTAGTCTGGAAGTTAGTTGAAATAAAAGTCAATGATGTAATAAATGCGAGAAAGAGTTTAAAAAAAGTTTAAGACGCAACGAAGGAATATTTGTCACCAAGGCAAGATTAATAACCCTCACTTGTTTCTGGCCATTTGAACTGTTGTCACAATCAACGTTGTAAAATATTCTTTTACATAGGGTATATTTTTACAATATTCAGTCTGTTAAATTTATGTACACCTTTGCTACACTATACTAATATGTCTTCAATATAACTTCCAACCAAACTCTGTCACGTAAGTACTTTAAACTCATTATGTAATTATGATTTTAAATATCACAGGTTGTAAGCAGCTGACGAGAACCAACGATATAAGATGAATTCATACTATTGGGTCAGAATCTTTGTTCTTACTCTTTTCAAAATGATAAAAGGAACTATATGTATAAAAAACCGTGAAGTAAAGTTCTTTTGAGAATTCGTATACGAGGTTTAACTACAAGACGTTTTATTCAAAATCTCACCTTATTCCATAGTTGTTTCTTTTTAGTTTTTTTTTTCATAACTATGAAATTCTAGCTAACATTAGACTAGAACATATAAAGAATTCAAATAATGGAGAAGATTTGTAGCTAAGGTGGATGATTTTGATAGAGTTTTGTTCTCTGAGCTGGATGGTTTGATCCAGCTAACAGAACAAAACTCCATCAAAAAAATTCAAATGTTCTAGGTAAAAGTTTATCTGAAAGTACATTGTTAAATTGTAGTTTCTACCCTTTAGCTATTACTATATATATATATTATTGTAGTCAGTCATTTTTTTAAACAATCTCTATTCGAAAATAACTATTTTCGAAAAGTAACCGTCTATCGAACAAATACATAAAATATCATATACTGTTAGGTTATTGATAGTTATCAGTATTTTAGATTACATTAACATACCTCAGTTCAAATATTGAATTGGTTATCATAACCACTATTTTACAAGTAAACCTAACTGCGTTTTCTAATATTTTATATGGCAATTGTTTTCTTTTTACTTTTTAGTATATAAATATATTTGAAATAATCCAATGGAATATAAATTTCCTCCCTTTTTTAATTTACCTTTTTCTACTTTGAATAAACAAAATTAGCGTCTATCCAATTTTAATTCATTGTTAAATGATGCTGTAGCTCAGGTGAAAAGTGCTGAATCTGTAACATTGAAATGGATCCCTATAGAGTTTTTACCAAGTGAACATATAAAAACTGAATTAGATCAAACAAAGGTTTGTTGATTTTTATTTACGACAATTATAATAATCAACTTAAATGTAAACTAAAATTTTAAAAAATGAGGATTAATGTTATTTGACTAGTTGACAAACATATTTTCAGACTTCTTTATTGTAACTGATAAGAGAATAAATGTAGTGTTCAGTGTTTGCATCTAACGTAACATTCCACTTAATGAAAAGACTGACCTTTTAAGATCTATTTAAACCATAATATCATCATTGTAAGACAGTCATAAAATATTGATGGAATGAAAGGAATTGTAAAACTATAACACTGATTTATAATAAGGTACTGTATACGATTTTGATTCTGAAAATCATGTTACTGAGTTGGGGTAGTAAACAATGATGTTCTCTCTTTTCAAGTATTTCTTTAAATGACTCAAGATTGTGATAGTAGTCATTTTCAAATTCATGGATTGAATAAAATTTAGAAGTGTTCATAGAAGATGTATAACAAGAACACGATAATCTGAAAAGTATTCTTAATCTACCAAGCGCTGTGTAACTGAAAGTAGTTAAGTAGACGAATATATTTAAATCCTAGTTTAACAATCTTCTTTTCGTACATTAACTAGTTTATCAGTGATCTCACTGAAGACAATAGAACTGTCGAGTCATAAGCCTTGAATATTCTTTCACTTGTGTTCACTATCTTTGTTCAATAAAATATAGTGATTTGAAAATTTAAAAAAATCCGGCTGACCATCAGTACTTTGTTGAATGAGCTAGAAACGTTTTTAGCAAACCGATATAAATTAGGTAGTTATTGATGTTTCATTAACATAACCTATATATTCCATTCTTTACGACTGAATAAATTCAATTCAATAATGACTAACTTTTTATTCTTACTGATATACACTGATCCATAATTCCTTAAAAAATACACAAATAGCGTTTAAGAATCTGATAAGCATAACACATTGAATTGGATTTGCTCAACATTAATAATTTACTCTATGTTCTCGTATATCAAATAGTTTATTCATTGAAAAGTCATCCCCATACACATATCAACAGTGATTTTTTATCATTCAATATAGATCAGAGTTACCCAACCAAGTATTAATATTATGGGGTAGATAAATATGATTAAAATACCATTTAGGATTAGACTTCATGATAGTGATCACCATCTAGTATTCGGTATATATAATTAAACTATTCATCTTTCACAGTTTATCAATTACCATTAGTAAATTAAAAAGTTCAACTCAGAACTGTAATACTATAAAAAGATATAGTCTTCAAAATTGTCATAATAATAAAGATTATAATATCATTAAAAACAGTTTACGTAACCTTCAGTTAACTTGAATGTATTCTATTAGTTGTTAGTATCTATGCTTCGCAATCTTCATGTTCTCTCTATTTCTTGTAAATCAAATTTACTGTTAAAGGAGGGAATGTTTATTTGAATTCATGTCAACTGGTAGTTATTACAAATCTATAAACTAAAAATGTTAAAGTCATCCATTTACTTATTTCTATTCTTTCTAAATGTAACAAACTATAAATATTTAAGACTATTGTTAATAAATGACATATTAGTTTTGTGCACATAACAACTTAACTTTTAAAAACTATCACTGTACTGATACTGCAATAGAATACCATATCAAGTAACTAAATTTATTCCATTAGTAAATGTGTATTTTAAATCATCGTCAAAAATACAGCCTTTTATGCTCCGTCAATAACTCAATCATAGTTAACTCTTTTGATTTTAAGTTCCTTAACCCATAAGATCATTATCAACCATAGTTCATATGTTTAAGACAAGAATAAATTAGATATCGAGTACAAAGTGATTCTTCTAGTCATTTGTTCACGAATATAAAAACTAATTATACTTATTACTATTCTAACAAATAATATGAGTAATTCATTTTATTCAAATATGTCTTATCAGAAATCTTGTTTTCCAAATAATCATATCAAATGTTTCTATTTATCTTGTGTAAATCAATGTTTGTGCAGAATTCAATCTCATGAAAGTTGATTTAATTAAACACATTTGAAACAGATTTGAAAGTAATATACATCATGAAATAGTATCAATAAAACAACTGTGTAAAAACCAGAACACAGTAGATAGTTGTCTAAATATAGTTTAGGACTTCACATTAGTGTATATCTACCACTTTAATTGATATCCTAATCACTCAAGAGTGTACAGGATATATTTCAATAATTCTGTTAGAATCAGATATACCAAACTGTCAACACTAACTTTGGGATGCAGGTACTTCGAACTGACGAGTCCCAAATGGGACGAAACGCGCGTCAAACTGGATTCCACCGCCAGCCACTATCCATCTTCACTTAGAAAGCTTGTGACTTAAGGCTATATTAAGGCAGTCTGAACAGGATGCACATATGCCAACATGAGATTGATCAACTGCAGTCCTTGATAACAATGGGAAGATAGATGTAAAACAACACCAAGTGAATTTGATTAACCTTTGTAAAAATAATTATTATAAATTGTACACGCAATGAAAATAAATTTAATTAATTTTAAACTATTCTAACCAATAAACTAAGAAACTTTCAATAAAAAATAGTCATAGAAGAGACTTTTTGTTGTTGTTGGTGGTTGATTAGTGTTACTAATTCAATAACAGTACATTTTGGTGCAAAACTACCTGTCATAAAGTATTTGCAACAAAAAACAACAAACAAATTAAGTTGATTATGACCTGAAAAATTAATGAATTAATAAAATAATAATAATAAATAAACAAAAAAATAATAAAAATATTTATTTAAAATGATTTATTTATTGTTAAGGTCTTATAGGTCAAACTTTATAAGTTCAATTTAGTTATTAATTTTATTTAATCCGAATAAAATAAATCATTAATTTTTATTAGCCTTTTTATTTCTTGAAAAGTGAAAAAAAGGAAGAAAAGAAAGAACAATTAAGAAATTTACAAACCATAAATAAATAAACATTTTCATTTTTCTGTGACATTGGTCACCAGCCCGTGATCAATCAATTGTGATTACATCTCAATCCTACAGGAGGTCGCTCGCCCATTGGTAACGTCTCTGACTGTGAAGCTGAGTGACACGGGATCAAATCCTTCAGGGAGCAGCAGTTCCTTCAAGATTACAGGTACACCTTGCTGATATGTGCCAAGTAGCACGATACCCGGGTCCAGGGTTTCCTGTTGACTACCTCCAATCACTATCTTATCTCAACATAGTGTTTGCAATGTCGAGTCACCTAGACTGGTGGTCACATTTCAACTTGGTCGATAGCGTTCTATCTGCACCAAGAAGGATTTGACACACATGACACTGATCACCACCCAGCGATCAATCAATTGCGATTATTAATGGATGTTTTTTCCAGTCAGTAGTTTAATATTGATTTTTTAGCACCTAATGTACATAATTCAATGTAATCTCTTAAAGATACTGAAACTGAAAAAAGCCTCTCTGAAGTTCACGCATTGTGTGTATGTAACTTCGAAAAACCAATGATTATTTAATGATTAGTTTTATCACTCAATGCTATAAATGTTGAAGTCAAGAATGCGAATTCGATGATATTTCTAGAAGTAGAGCTTATTTCAAGAGAATAACCAGAAATTTTAATAAAACAATTATTGTAAGACAGCTTACTTCAACCACTGATGTAGTATGAAATGAGCTAACTTTTTTTCAATTCAGTGATTACATTATTAAGTTGATTAACTAGATCTATGTTCAACAATAAGAAATAGACGATTACTGTTAAACAACGGATTAGCAAATAACTCCTCATCTATCTTTCCACCATATTGGTATTGTTCGTTGGTGTGACACACGTTCAGTTTTTTAAAGAGTACTTTTGAACAAAACATAACAAGATTTATGGAATAGAATAAACTGATCTATTATAAGATCGCCAGTCATCTGTTTTGTTCATTATTTTCTACATGTTTTCAATCATTAAAAAACTAAATCATTACACTGACAAACAAATATTTTAATCATATATCGAATGTAATTTTATGTACTGTAGTCTTTTTATGAAGCATGTGAACCATTGGCTCATTCACTGGACAGCTTAGAACGACAAGTACTTCAATTGCAAGAAATACAAGTACAAATCGAACCAAAATTACGTGTGCAGTTAAATTGTATCAGAAATGAGTAAGTATTATCATCAGAGTTGATTTCTCTATTTTAATTGGTTTTCGAAATGATGTATACATTTTCAGGTTGCTTGACTTCATCTCTTCTATAACAACATGTGTACATTTATATATATATATATATATATATATATATATATATATATATATATATATATATATATATATAAATGCATATGCTGCTACCCTGTCAACTGAGTATAAATATAGATTTGTTTATCTATTTCAACTCGACAAATTGATTGAGAATATTTCTCATTTTAAACAATAATCTAGACAGTTTCCAATAATCCATAATGGCTTTTTTCGATGAAGCCATGAAAATACGACAATATTTATAGATTGGTCAATCAAATGCGTGTGTATATGCTAATAAAAATAATATTATTTAGTCAGGAGTTGATGTTATATATGGTTATTATGTCATAGTAGACATACAAAATAATTCATTGATGAATTAACAACAGGATTTAGTTCATGGGTTTGTTACTATTTTGAAAACAATAAACTATTCATTTGTTTGTTTGTCTCCTAATTTTGAAAAAAATCCCCCCCCCGCAAAATAAAACATAAGAACAAATGAATAACAGTGAAATTTCACTGGATTCTGAAATAAATTGAGCTATTGATCCACTGAAAACCTGTTTTACTTCTTCCATATTCAATATTTAAAAAAAAATAATTTATTTCCACATCATTGACATTCTTTTATGTATCAAAGTAGAATTGTTCTTAGAATTCTTCGAAGTAAAATAAAAAAGGTAATTAACTAGTCTCAGTTCAATCGAGTTTATATCATTTACAATGAAACAGATCATTATTAATTTAGTAAAAATACCATTGACAAATATTCAATTTAAAATGGAAGAGAATCTGTTTGTCAAGGTGAATAGTTTTTTTCATTATTATTATGAATTGATAAATTCAATTTTCCTGTGACATTATACAAATGGTCTGTTGAATATTAAAGTGTACAAGGGTAAGAGTTTTTTTTGAGGATTAAACACCATTTGCCTAAATAAGATCAGTTTGAGATGTAGAATTATGCTATTCAACAATTTACACAATCGGTGAGACTCTAATTTATGGATGACCTTTAAACAAATCTTAAGTGACCTTGAGAAATATTAGCCAATCAATAAACAAAAAATATAGAGTAAATAGAGGAAATAAAGTGGATACACTTCTTATACGTGATTCAGAAACTCGTTAAGGTTAGAAAGAGGTTCAGAGGCTCTAAAATCGTAATGCATGCAGTAGAGGAAGTCATCCATATGGCTACAGAATAGTCAGCCTCCGGAGCCATGATAAAGTCTCAAAAACTCTTTCAGTCTCGACCACACAGTTTCAGTACTGTTTACGTGCACTCCGGTTGTTGAGTGCACAAAATGCTACTTGTGGATAACGACACGATTCACATAACCAAGCCTATGTAGGAGTCTGTACGCTTTCAAAACATCCGTATATATTAAAGCACCCGGTTGCAGCCAGTGTGAGTGGTGCTTTTATTATCCAGTTCGCGATAATTGTCGTGATTCGCCTTAATTAGGAATTATATATAGGGTTTTCATCACGAAATGACATTAGCTATAATGCCAGAAATTTATTTAGCCAAATGGATGAAAGACTTTTGTGCCAAAATGCGAGATCTATTATCTTATACCTGATTGATTCGTCCACAAATTATAGTCTCATCGTTTTATTTGTTATAGCCGCTCAATTATCACGTTTTGTACAAAATTCCGTGTGATGCGAACGTACGTTAGCATTAAGTATTGAAGTTGGCGCCGTAATCTTGAAATTTCTCAAACGCTTCTGATTGACTCGTCCATAACTTAGATTCTCGCCACACAATGTTATACACCAAAAACGTTTTGTAATAATTTCTTAATCTTCACTTATTTACCTCCATAAAACTCAGGGTCCTGATATCAGCACGGTACCTTTAAGTCATTAGGTTGAAATTCAGCTATGCGTGCTTTTAACTTCTTTGATCAAATCATAAGCATTTTAGTTTATCATTGCTATCATGATTAAATGTTCAGGACTCTATAGTCTCTCACTAGAAATTCAAGCAACTACATCATATTAAATCACTGGTGAGTCTACAATCATTATTTGTATAGTTGGTTGGTGGAGTGCTTTTTTATTAAAAAAATCCAGTACCTAAGGGTTTTCTGCTGTTCTGCAGCCAATGTTGGTTTGTAATACAAAATGCTACCCATATAAAGGAGAGCCTCTATAATCACGCCTATTGAGAATGAATATCCACAGGTTAAAATGCCATCAATTTAAGGAAATTATATTTTGCTGCACGAAAATTCTATCATGAATGAAATATTAAACATAAAAGTAAAAATTTTCATTACAAAAGATTTGGATTTAAAAAAATACAAACCTTAGTTCCGAAATTGCCCAGTTAGATTCAACCATATCACTAAATATACCTTTGAATGAGTTAGATTTTTTGTAAAGAATAAAAATAAATATGAAATGTTCATCGTGCTTATCTTCAAAAAAATTTTGCTTATAAAACCAAGTGCAACTTAGAAGTGGCTGCAGACAGATGTATTATTTGTCGCGTACGTACATACACACATATACATGCAATAACAGACATTATACCAGTATAACGACAAGTTTGTTGGAAGTGAAACTTTGAAATAAGAACAAACGATTAAATATGACTGAAATTATGGGAAGCATGCATATTGTCCAATATTTTCATTTTAGTTACCTACATCACTGGTATCAGTTATCAAATCATAATATCTCTATTGTCTCATTTTTAACTAATGTTTCTAAGAACTCGACTATTGTTATTGCTATTATAAATATATGAAATAGTACAAAATGTGTACTTTTCTAACCACAAATTTTCACTGATTTATTTTTAAGACCTATGCACATAATCATCACAGAAATGTAATCAATTACTCACACAATAGATGATGCTTAAGAAAAGGGATAAATCTCAAAGAAATGAAAAATTTCAATTATGAAATTATTATAATTAAATAAAGATTTTTTGTTTTTAATTAAAATGAAGCAGAAAAGGTGTCCCAGGACTAATCATTCTCGCCCACGAGCGCTTTACCATTAGACCACTGAGTTGATCGGCATCAAACGGTGTTAATATCTAACTTCAACCAATCCTCGAAGTTGCGCCCCCGCTTACATTGAATTTTCAATATTTAACCAATTTTTGTTTATATAAAACAAAAAGTAACAGGTGACGTAGAATAATATAAATTTATAAGGGTTGGTAAAGTTTCAACAATGATTTACTAATTGATAATAAAAGCTATATATAAAAGGTCATTTGAGGATAAATCCAAGAAATATGAAAGGGAATGAAGCAGAAGTATTCTAGAACTGAAAGGTTGACTAATTTCGTAATATTTATAGAAATTAGTTGATTCGAAGTCCTAAGCATTGAAAATCAGGAAACAGTAGACAACTGTTATTTAATAGTAATGGACTCTTCAGCAACCTACATCCATGTTCCTACAAACGATGGAAAGCTCGATGAGGTTATGGATTGTGCACTACTAAAGAGAGGAGGTTTGTAAAATGCTTTCTGGTTTCCAATAGTTATTTAACTATGTCCAGTCAGCGGTGTCAAGTGTAATATAAACGTCAGCACTTTCTATAAATCATCAGTAAAATTAGAAATATAATAATTTTAGTAAAAAGGTTTGTTTAGAGTGTTCTTTTTTCAGTTCCACATCATGAACTAACTTCATCTAGATAGCTATTTGAAATCAGAAAGCGTTAAACGGCTATCTGGTCCTGATAAGAGTTACGTTGACATTCTAGTAGTCCGTTGTTTAATGGCATTATTAGGTTCAGCAATCATACTTCTGATTCAATCACCGTTGATGAGCATCAGTAGTTGAATGTTATTTTCATACCCTTATTGAATACATATTTCACCACATTGCTCATTCCAATTTCATAATTGTTTTTCGCTGTCTAGTTTCTATGAAACTGTTTAGTAATCTTTGATTCAACCTTTAAATATAAATAACGATTTTTTAAAAATATTTAATGTCGTTACTGTGTTCGATTGATCGTTGTTTTATAAAAAAATTTGACTGTGCAAATTAGAGCGGCACATAATCGAACAATCTTCTTTCCAATTAGATCCTCATCAGGCTCTTTTTTAAACACAATAATCTTTATATAAGTACATATAACAACATTAAATCAATCTTGGCAGATTCTGAGTTTTGTGAACACGAGTGGTATCGTACTTTTTACAGATCACGCAGAAGCGGAACTTAATTTATTTCGTCATATTGATTCTAGTTGTCAACTGTTGTGACGTTAGAAAATTACTAAAAATTAAGTGCATATAATTTCTATGTAAGTCGAAAAATTACATATTTCATACAAAATAAACTACAAAAAATTCGTAACCATTTCTCGATTATGACGATAAGTATTTAAATGATAAACACAAATTTCAGATAACAATAATAATTTTGATTGAGATCACGAGCCGATTGATTTTAGACCACCATGGAAAACCTGGAAGCACTGAACAGCCGTCTCGTTCTATTGTGGGACTTCTCAACAGTGCGCATCCACGATCCCACTCTCAGGACTCGAACCAAAAGCCTTCAGTCTTGCGCGCGAACGCTTAACCTACTGGACCACTGAGCCAGCCGGCATCCAATGATGTTAGTGACCAACAAACTAATAATGAAAATGTACTCACTAGTGACTAGCTTCGTGAGGGAATTCTCGGAGTTCTAGTGAGAAGCCGTGACCAGTGGAGTTAATCCGTATCGGGTAGAAACAGGTATTTACCTCAGTACAATGGAAGATGGTCGCGCAATTTTGTGGATTGGTTGAGGTTAGACATTAACACTGTTGGATGCCAGCTCAGTGGTCCAGTAGGTTAAGTGTTCGCGCGCGAGATCTAGGGCCCTGGGTTCGAATCTCGCGGGGAGTAGGATAGTGGATGTGCACTGCTGCTGAGTCCCACAATAGGATGAAACGGCCGTCTTGTGCTTTCAGGTTTTTCATGGTGGTTTAGCTTCAATTGACTCATGATCTCAACTAGTAAAATTACTATAATATCCACAAAACCCCTTCTAATATTAATAACCGACTTCCTTGTAAAGCAAATGAATAAAAAATAAGTATCCAAAGAATATTTATATAAGAGAATATTATATTCACGTTAGTTTGTGTACTTGTTTTTCAAATTATCTGACAAATTATTTTATCAGAATAATATAAATAGAAGATATATGGTATTTCTGTTTTAATAAAGGTTGTAATTACTTTTAAGGTATATATAAAAATGATTAATAAATTTTATGTATAAACTAATAAGGTTCAGGTAATATTTTTTGAACTTATAAAGTTGACTTTATTTTTTATTTGTTGATCGACAAAACCCAACAGTTATCGTTAGTTTCAATACTATACTTCGTACATGGTTTTATAATTGGATATTATGTGAATAACACCGATGTGATCAAATTCACATATACAATATCTTGAGTTGATTAAAAGCTAACGTTTTAAACTTTAGTTTTCATTGTTTGCTAAAATTTGTCATGAAAAGTTAATTGCAACGACGTTGGTAAACGTATCTCTAAGATGTAAATAAACATATCATTCACTAAATTAGTAGCTACGGCAACCATTGATACTCCCTCATATATCCCTTACATTTTTATATACATAAGACATCGAATGATGACAATTCTTCGATATTTATGTTTTATTTAAGTTCTGTAGCATGTTTATTAACATCTGATAAACAATATTTTTCGAGTGAATAAATGGAAATTGCAGAATATTGATTGTCTAGTGAATATAAAATGTTTAGTGAGTTATGTGAAACACATAGCAGCATTGATCTCAATATGCTCTACCTCCAGAATGGTAATTCTAATAATATACGATACATGAAAATTAAATGTTTCAATAGAAGTAAAAATTATCAACGATAGAATTTAAAAAAAGGTTTTACATTAGGTATTATCAAAATAGTAACAGCCTAGAAACAGTGCAATTATATATATATCAAATTCTTTAGTTAAGTAAAATGTAAGTACACTTCAACAGAATGTGTACATAAGTCAATTAAAGAATGATTTAAAAATTATAAATTATTAATTGGGATCAATGTTAAATCACTAATGAAAACCTGGAATCATTAAATGGTCGTTTCGATTATTAAACTAATCCCATATGAGTTTATTTAATAATTCTAATAATGATTAATGGATGGTGGCTAGCAGTGAAGTCCAGGACGCGTGTTTTATCCTACTTGGGATTCGTCAGCTGGATGTATCTGCACCAACTCTGGGATGTAGGTGGCAACCATCCATCATTGCTTATAGTGCTTAGGATTTGAAGTAATATCGAGACGATCCGTATAGGGTGCATATATAAGAGACTGATCAATTTTAGTCTTAAACATCAATAGAAAGATTGGAACAAACAATACAAAATGAGATTAATAATGATAACTGATTATTTCATAGATAAAGCGAAATTATAAATTTTAGTCTTATACTACATATATTGAAATATAAGAATATATTTGGGATATAAATCATCACAAACACTTTGAATTTATACTCATTGACATAAAATAAGTGAATTCCGTTTTGTTTATATAAATTATAAACAAATTATGAACTGTTGCATAATTATATTATTTAGTATAGTTTCATCGAAAATATACGGTTAAATTTATTGTCAAGCTTACATACAGAAAGTGATTATTATATCATAAATGGAATGGACTGGTAAAAGTTCTAGAATATGCCGCCTAAACACAAATATCGATTATAATATATTTCTCAAACTTCCTTATAATTAGTCATTCACCATGTCGTCTACAATCACTTCAACTATAATGCACACAAGCACATTCAACGAATATAATCCGTCTTTTAAATATCGTTTATTTTGATATATTCATCTTACTTGACAGAAATAGAGTCTTATTGTAAACATGTATGTACATTGAGTCATTTTCCTTTCAGAACTAAATTCAAGTTTTTTTTAACCCACCTCTTTTATTTTCTACTTAAAAGGTTTGAAAGAATACGTGTTATTACACAAACTCGAATTCACCAACTTAATCAAAGTTTATCAGCACTACAAATGATGCCACAAAGACCGAAATATCAAACTGTTACACGTAATTCTTCTCAACGTACTCAAGGATCGCGTCATGAAGCTATAGAACCAGTTGATCAAACTATCCCAGCGACTTCAGGACAATCAAAAAATGTTCCATTACACGGTAAGAGAACTTTGTTTTAAATAACTTCAATCTTTTAATGGTTTTGGAAATAATATTCGATTCACACGTTTCATCTCTTTTAAGACTCATTAGACAGAGCTTTCTTTATTATCCTGAGTAAGGTATTTGTGTACATTTAGAACTTTCATATCAACATAATTCCAAACGTTAAATTGACAACAGATTTTTCCAAGATATCATAGTTACTCAGATTTAATTCAATAAAGAAAGTAGTTTAAAGCCATATACCAATTACAGACCTTTATAACGATTAGTATTAATCTCATACACCAATAATATTTATTTAAAATCAAATGCTTATAAACTATGAATGACTGTTCACTTGGTGTTATTTTACATCTGTCTTCCCATTGTTATCAAGGACTGCAATTGACCAGTCTCATCTCGGTATATGTGCATCCTGTGCAGATTGCCTCGACATAGCCTTAAGTCACAAGCTTTTTAAGTGAAGATGGATAGTGGCTGGCAGTGGAATCCAGTTTGACGCGCGTTTCGTCCCAATTGGGACTCGTCAGTTCGACGTACCTGCACCCCAGACCTGATGTTCAACAATGGGAAGATACAAGTAAAGCAACATCAAGTGAATTTGAACTTCATCACGTTGCGCAAGCAGGTGGCTATCAGGACTCAGTAGGTAAGTGGATAACGCGATGGCGTTCGAAGCGAACGGTACGGGGTTCGAGTCCTGGAGTAAATATCAACTCTGAGATGCAGGTACATCCAGCTGACAAGTTCCGAATAGGACGACACGCGCATCAAACTGGATTCCACTACTAGCCATTATACATCTTTGATGAATGGTTGTATTTCAATTTGTTCAGTGACTTATTTTCCCATATGCTAAACTGTGCAAATCAGGAGTTGACAATTGACACTATAAATGTTTTATATTTTTTCAGTTAACTTCTTGTAAACTATAAATTTCAATATTAATTGGTACTTTTTTAATATTATACATTAGACAACTGATTTTCTCTATTCATCACGATATTTTAATCTTTGTTTTTTCTGTTTTACCATGAAATAAACCATATGGAAACTATGAAATTTTTCTTTTTACAGTAGAATAATTTTCATTTATTTACTATGCATTATAGTTAGATGATTGGTTAGAAATCCTGTAATTCAAGATATACGTTCATAGTCTGTTTTAAGCGAATATCCTACAAATATTAAAATGAGTTTATAATCAGCTACGAAAAAAGTTGACAATTTTCAGATTAGTACACCTCATTCATGTTTCATTTTATATATTGTGTAACAGGTTAGCTAGATACCTTATTCTTATGATAATCAATATATTTGTTAGAAATTTATTTTCAGAATTGGAAGTTTGTAGAGATTATAGTAGTTTTAATAGTTGAATTCATGAGTCGATCTAAGCTAGAATACCATTAAAAACTTGGAAGCATTGGATACCCATTTCGTCCTTTATAGGACTGAAATGCAAATAAATAAAAAAATTATTACAAACATCATTCTACTTATTTTTTTCAGATTCTGTTCGTTTACCATGGGAAAGATGTGTTCATCCATCTGGTACACAAGTTCCATACTATAAAAAGTAAGTATGAACTACAATATTTGTTTATATTTATTGTACAATACAACTTTTTAAAAAAAAGAGAAAAGAATGAATCGATGAAACAAACTCAATCGCCAAGCTAAATAATGAAGTTATTTTTTAACTGTCATAGATAAGATGTTTACGAATATAACTTTCACTCAAATCTTCAGTGAATTGAAATGAAACTTTTCACTTAACGAAAGTTCTCATAAATTCCTAAATGATTAAAATCTATAGACAAATAGAAGAATCTATTATATGTGAAAATTATATTTGAAATAATCTCAGTGACTGAATTTTAAATCACTCCAATGTTTCGTCCAGCTAACGTGTCTGGACTTCTTCAGGGTAATAATAAAAATCAAAAATAGAAAAAGAATGTAGAAAGTTTCGATAATTTTGATATAATCAACTTCAAGATGATTATATTTCTTGCTTATAAATAGAAGCTTCTAGAGTTTACATATTTTTTATTATAGAAACTGGTATTACAAATGATAACTAAATTTTGACTAATTCACAAATTGTTTTTAACGAATATGTAATCTAAATGAATATTTTTAGTGGTTGTCTATTACTCAACTCTAATGGAGAACAATTTCTTTTGCTTACATTAATACCTATTAACTTTAGATCTCTATACTAAAACAATCTTATAAAATGAAAGTACATATTATTATAAAATTGTTTAGATAATATTCTCATTTAGGAACAAACTTTTCAAATGAATTCAGTGAAATTTACATACATCAAAATGATATAATTACTTTCAGCTCAGTGTATGGTTAAACGACATACAATAATCATTATGCTTTTCTAACGTAATTATTAATTGAATATAGTAAACGTGCTTCGTCCAAGTTGAAACTCATCAGATACACTTACCTTCACAACATGAAACAACAATGGTATTATCTATTCTTTTCATTTTTTAGTCATGAAACGCAAGAAACTCAATGGGACCATCCAATTTTATGTGATTTAATGAAATCTATGAAACAATTTAATACTGTTCGTTTCTCTGATTATCGAACTGGTTTAAAACTGCGTCGTTTACAAAAAGAACTATGTTGTAAGTTAGTCACTTGATATTTTCTTCATTTCATAAAATTATTAATAGTAGTAATCTACTTAAAATCATAATATTGTTACTGAATAAAGTTAATTACATATATCTTTTCAATTGAGATCGTGAACCGATTGATGTTAGGCCACCATTAAGAACCTGTAAGCACTGGATGGCCGTTTCATCCTATTGTGGGACTCAGCAGCAGTGCACATCCACTATCCCACTCCCCGCGAGATTCGAGCCCAGGGCCCTAGATCTCGCGCGCGAACACTTAATCTACTGGACCACTGAGCTGGCATCCAACAGTGTTAATGTCTAACCTCAACCAATCCACAAAATTGCGCGACCATCTTCGATTGTACTGAGGTAAATACCTGTTTCTACCCGATACGGATTAACTCCACTGGTCACGGCTTCTCACTAGAACTCCGAGAATTCCCTCACGAAGCTAGTCACTAGTGAGTACATTTTCATTATTAGTTTGTTGGTCACTAACATCATTGGATGCCGGCTGGCTCAGTGGTCCAGTAGGTTAAGCGTTCGCGCGCAAGACTGAAGGCTTTTGGTTCGAGTCCTGAGAGTGGGATCGTGGATGCGCACTGTTGCGGAGTCCCACAATAGAACGAGACGGCTGTTCAGTGCTTCCAGGTTTTCCATGGTGGTCTAAAATCAATCAGCTCGTGATCTCAATCAAAAACTTAGCAATTTTCACAACCTCCGAACTGAGGATTATATATTTATTAAGTTATTCAATATATAAGTCATAAAAGATAAAATTTCATTACGTAACATCTTTTTTTCCAATTATTTCTTTGACTTCATCATATAAATAACTTTTGAAAGAAGTTCACGAAATTTTTTACATTTAAATTATCACACTGATTATTAACAAAAAAGGTTACTACTTTCGTTAAATTCTCAACAACAACAAAAATTTTCAGAAAACCTGAATTTATACCATTTTATTTAATTACTAAAACGTTTTCTTTCTTTCTTTCATTCTTCTCTTCTTTTTCTTACATTTGCTGTCAAAATATGATAAATATTATTCATGGTATTTATATGTAACACAATAATGTCTTTTTACGTTTAAATAAATGTAACTTTTGTTACGTGATATAAATTATTTATGAGTTATTTTTACAGGATGATAATAATACTGATAATAAACTTCTGTTAGACATGGTGACAGTGAGGTTAAGTAATTAAAGGAATAAAAAAGAACTTTTTTTTATAAACAAGGAAACTAACAACCGTTTGACTGTTAATGGCTTAAATATTCATCAAAAGATAGATGCTTACTAAAAACCGGTAAACTTCGATATTTATTGGTAAGAACATAAAACCTTAAACGCCGAGAACACAAATAATTTCATGAACATCGAATTCAAGGGTGACAGAGCCACATACATCTTAAAGATGAGAATTTCTGATTCTTTATAAATAACATTCTTCGCAGCAAGTTTGCGAATAGTATTCTTCAGCTGTTCATTGTTCACCAATAATCTTAAAGATAAATTATCGCATCTAACCAACTCAATATGCATTTACCAATTTACCTGCTCATGTGGAGCCAGGTATATAGGTCGTTCGATGCGTACTTTATTCAAAAGAATTCAAGAACATTATCCGGCGTGGCTAAAAAGAGGAAGAAGCGGCTCAATAAGAAGCTTAATAATCGGACACCTTGTGAACATAGGTCACGCAATCAAGACAGACTCTGCGCTCAAAGTCCAAAAGGTAAGAAGAAGTCTTCCAAAGACAATTAGACTGCATATTCTTTGCATTGTCGGAGCATTAGCCATACATCTGAAAAGCCAGAATTGTGTGTGCAAAAGAGACTGGTACAACCTCTTCTTCTACTATGGTCTTAGTGTTTTATAATTTTTTCTCTTTCTTCATACTCTTCTGCCTTTACAACCATCCGTTTCACCTTCCATCTTCCCCATAAATTTTCTACCCCCAACTGGTTTATTTTGTTTCCACAACCATTCTGATTACATTTAACCTCAATTTCAACATTTTATCTTATCATGATGAGCCATCCTTTCCGAATGATAATTTCCCTATCTATCTTTTGATGAATATTTCAGCCACTAACAATCAAACGATCATTAAACTTTCCTTGTTTTAAAAATTTTTTTAATACCTTTGTTTATTTAACCTCACTGTCACCATGTCTAACAGAAGTTTATTATCAGTGTTATTATCATCCTGTAAAAATAAGTATATATATATTTACGATTGTACAGCTTTGAAAATGAATTCGCCATAAAGAGAACGCTTCACTGAACTAGTCTTTCTTATTTATAAGTAGTTTATATTTACACTATAAAATTATGTATAGATTGTTAAGTTGATCAAACGAAAATATGACAATAATTTGTGTCATACAACTTTTCTCAATATTAACATTGAATTAAAAATGATGTTAAAAATTATAATATACATAGTTAAATGTATGAATTAAAACTGAGCTTAATATGATAGTCTTTTTACTGGTTAGAGGTTTTGAATATTATAGTAATTTTAATAGTTAAGTTCATGAGTCAGTTTAAGCTAGACCACCATGAGAAACCTAAACAGCCTAGTGCAGGACTCCCCAGCAATGGTCAATCACGATTCCGACCGTGGGACTCGAATCCAGGCCCTATCAGTCTCATAAGTGAACGCTTGACCTTTAGATCACTGAGCCAGCATCCAACAGTGTTAATGTCTAACTTCAACCAATCCACGAAATCGAGCCACCGTCCACCATTGTCTTCAGTGAGTTACTGTCAGTCAAATAACTGAATGAATTAGATTCATTATTAATGATTAAAAATAATTTGCAAAACTGTTAACACATGTGCTGTCAATATTATTTACATTGATATTGATGCATAGAATTGTAAGCATGAAGAGTACGTGGTAATAAATTTTTACCTTGTATTTCTAGTGAAACTCTTTAAAAGTTTTATTTCATCAAAACAGAATCTAATTAGTTTAATTTTTATTGAGCTGAATAATTGTTTCATAATTCAGTCATATTCCCTTATTTTTTGTGTATATATGACGAAAGCTGGAAAACACGTCTGTATTTCAATGTATCTACTCATCTATTTGATATGTTTTTCGTAATTATTTTATTTTTAGTTGATTCGATAAGTATCTCATTTGTTGCCGAGAGTTTAAAACATATTGGCCATTCACAAACATTAAGTAATCCTATACTTGGTCAACAAACAACTGATCCATTTGATCGTATGATAAGTGTACCTCAAATTATTGATTATTTACTACAATTGTTTAATCATACAAGAACTTTGTACGGATTAAATAATCATGATCAAAAATCTACAACTGATAGTTCTTATGGACATAATTCTGGAGTTGATGCAGATAATTTGAAAGTAAATGAACCATGTCTAAATAATATTCATGGTTCTAATTCCAACTTAAAGGATCATATTAATGAACCCTATTCAACACTGCCAGGTTCACGACCTTCCGATGTAAGTTGCACTTTTAAAATTACATAGTATTTTTATAAAGATATATTTAAGTAAATGGAACGACAAATGACAAAATGAAGTAGAATAAATATTATTATAAAAATGAGCTAAAACTAGTTATATATAATGATATCATTGATTAAATGGAACAGTCTACAAACGATCTATAAGATTAGTGGTAATAATAATCCCTCTATTTGGTGCAATATATTGATAGTTTTATTCTCTGAGCTGGATGTTTTGGTCGTGGAGTTTTCATTGTTCTTCTGAACGACATCATCAACACAAACTTCAGATATAATTAAAGTGTTCGAATTTCTCCAAATGTGGTTCACAGCCCGTCCTGTAGACATCGAAGTTGATTGGTTCTTGTTGATCTTAAACCTGTCATTGTTTACTTCTTTGTTTTGGTTGCATCTTCTGTTGGAGATACCAGCTCAGAGAACAAAACTTCATCAAAACCATCCACCTGAGCTACAAATCTCCACCATCTCAAAATGTAGTGTATTTGATTATCCGGCCATATGTACAACAGAAAACAAATTTGTCCTCACTATTCATTTAAATTGTTAATATTCAAAATCTATATGAAAGTGTTTCTCAATAATAATCAGATACCTTTCATATTTATAAGCAAACATTTTTTTGACTTGCATTATATCAAAGAAATGTTTCATTATGTAATGGTAAGTGATGCATAAATCTCAATATAATTGAATGTCATTTCCGCTAAAGGAATATAAAGAAAGTAGTATACAAAACTATGGTCATACTTTTGCTTAAATTTTCACGATAATCAGTGAATTTTTTTATAACAGGGCCTGGATACATTTGGTGTTTAACATACAGAGTTAGTCATTTATAAAAAAAAGACAATCGATATTGTCTTATGAATATAACTGAATACTTTTCAGTTTAACAATTACTTGCTTCATGATTTAGTGCGATGTTCTGCTTTAGTCATTATTAATCTCTTTCCAACATACTCCTATATTAATCAGCCTAAAACATTCATAGAGATGTCAGATGTGAGTACGAGCAATACATGTCTCAAACACTGAAATAGATTAATATTTATATCTTCATTTATCCGTTGCCACAATAAAGTGCTCTTTCATCAAAATATCATTATTTTATCATATATCATTGAAATGAACTATTTCGACAAGGTCTAGGGTAAATTCATTTAAATATTTCTTAAAACAAGTTGCTTTTTATTATAGTACATATCAGCTTCTTAATTTGTTAAAACTCATCCCTTTCTTTTCAAAATAACAACTTTGAAATAATTAGACTACGTCTAGTGTTACTTTCTTTTTTTGTTATCTAATTTTTCTCGATCGAAAAACAAGTAAGAATTATTACTGAAGCCAAAATTGTTTGACAGTTATATTTTAGGCTTATTGAACGTCTACTATAACAAAAGTTTTTTTCTTTGAGAGTTCTATCCTCTTTTAATATACGATTGTAGTATAAGCTACGGTATTATGAAATGGAGGATTCCAGTCTTTACTAACTGTACTCATGGTATTAGAGAATGATAGTAAATCAGTTGATGATGTTGTGAATCTCAGTATCGATCACAGTGGAGTCGGTGTACACACTCTTTGTCCTCCCTTAAACCGTGAGATTAAAATTACTTTATACCTTTCTTTATACGAACTAATTCTTTCTCCCTATATCATATCCTTATATGCAATCATTTTTTACATATTACTACCATTAAAGTAACTAATTCTATGGAGTTGGTGTCCATCTTGTTGTGCTAATGAGTTGTGGCAACTTGGACCGATACATATGCATATCTGGTTCTACGTTGTAACTGACTGACTGACTACTAACAAATAAACCTTGAAGTTTGAATGATGACTAATGAGATTTAATGTTAACTTAGAAAGAAAAAATCTGTCTACATCCAGGACAAAATTCTCAATTAGTATAAAACAAGATTCAGGTTCTGAGTGAGATGTTTTTTGTTGTTAGTACAGTATAAAGATCACGTAATTGCATATTTATCCAATGCCCTGTGTTAAATAAATAATATAACCATTTTTTATGAATTTGATAACTTAACAATTTATGGTAATTCTAACAAATATGCTGATAATAATTTTATGTTTTTAGTGTGAATTAAAATCAAGTACAATTGAATCACAAAATCATTCAAAAAATTGTATGGGAAGTTTTCTACGTTCATCTTCAACAACACGTTCAAATAAATCAATATTATTTTCTTCACCATCAACTGAACCTGAAAACAGTAGAAAATTGACTAAAACTCCTGTTCGGGATCCAGGCTGTCATACAATAGAAAATGAAAATACATTAAGTGAAGATAATCGAAGTTCTAGTCTACCTGTATGCACAATTATGCAAGTTAACAATTATAATAACAATAAAGATATGAACAGTGTTAATCGTGGTCGACGAAATACAATGAGACGTAGAAAGCATTATTTAATTGGTTCAATTAAACGTCCGGTGAATGTATGCGTTGATCTTATATTGAATTGGTTATTAAATGTTTATGACCGGTATGTTATTTCGTTATCTTTATTTGTACTATAGTTGTGTGTTATACGTAAAAATAATTATTTAAACTGATTGAGATAGCATTATATTCCTTGAGTTGAATGGAAAATTATCATTTACCTGGTAAACAAATCTTTTACAAATGTCCAAATCACGCTATTGTTTAATAATGTCAGATTCCCTCTTCTTCTTGGAGATAACATATAGATTAAAAACTAAGATCTAGTTCATTTGATATCAAATTACTTGGTCTTTATCTTATTGATTCTAGATGGCATTATGATCAATAAAATATCTATTCCAACATTCTAAAGACAAGTATTTTGTTTAGTTGAAAAAGTATTTTAGTCATACCAAAATCCATAATGATAGAATGTAGAAAAGCAAATGATTTCGACGGATAAACTGATGAAGCACATACTTACTTACGTCAGTTATCCCTCATGGAGGAGCATAGGCTTCCCACCAGCACGCTCCACCCATTTCTGTTCTGAGCATTACTTTCCAGTTGTTTACGGTTGCTATCCATCGTTTCCATGTCTGCTTCCAATTCGCGATGAAGTGTGTTCTTTGACCTTCCTCCTTTCACTCCCCCTTCAGCGTTTCAAGTTAGCATGCTTGCCCCTTGATGCAGTTTGATGATTTTTTGAATGTATGTTCTATCCACTTCCAGCATCTTTTCCTAATTTCCTCTTCAATTGGAAGTTCGTATGTTCTTTCTCACAGTAGGGTGTTGCTGATGGTATCAGGCCAACGGATACTGAGTATCTTGCGTAGACGATTGTTTATAAATAATTGTATCGATTTCATGATGTTTGTGGAAGTTCTCGAAGTTTCAGCTCCGTACAGTAGAACTGTTTTCACCTTCGTATTGAAGATTGTGACTTTGATATTGGTTGACAGTTGTTTTGAGTTCCATATGTTCGTCGAGTGTAGAAATGCAGCCCTTGCTTTGTCAACCCACGCCTTCGGGTCGTGTCGGATCCTCCTTATCCATCGATGATTCTGTCCAGATACGTGAACATTTCCACCTCTCTCAGAGTTTCTCCATCATGTGTGACTGGTTTGGTGTTTTTCGTGTTATATTTGAGGATCTTGCTCTTTCCTTTGTGTATGTTGAGGCCTACTGATGCAGAGGCTGCTGCCACACTAGTTGTCTTCATCCACATTTGTTCGCGTGTATGCGATAGAAGGGCCAGGTCATCTGCCAATTCCAAGTCTTCTAATTGATTCCTGGCTATCCATTGTATTCAGTGCTTCCCCCACATGTCGGAATCTTCATAATCCAGTCACCCACCAGAAGATAGAGGAAGTGGGAGAGTAATCAGCGTTATCTGACTCCAGTCCTAACTTGGAATGCATTCATCAACTGTCCTCCATTCCCGACTTTGTACTTTTGTCCGTCGTATGAATTCCGGGTGATGTTGACGATCTTCCCAGTTATACTATAGTTTTGAGGAAGGTTCAACAGAGTTCGCCTATTCACGCTGTCAAATGCTTCCCACTCAAGTGATTGTTCAACGATGATCTGTAGTGTCGCAATTAGGCCTCTTAATGATGGATCCATACGGAATCCAGTCTGTTGATCTCGAAGCTGGGTATTCATTGAATCTTACATTCAGTTCAGCAACACTTTGTTGAGAACCTTTCCTTGTACGGATAGTAATGTGATGCCCCTGAAGATTTCACATTTTCGCAGATCTTTCTTTGGTATGTTTTTGGGGTATCCTTCTTTCCAGTCTGTCAGTGACACTTGCTCTTCGTCCCTAATCTTCTTGAATAGAAGGTGGAGTATGTCTTTAGTTACTTCTGTGTCTGACTTTAGTGCTTTGGTTGGTATATTGTTAGGTCCTGCTGATTTCCGACTGTTGATGTGTGTGATGGCCATCCTGATTTCTTCTATCGTCGGTGGAGTGACATCTGTAGAAAGGACTGTAGGTACTGCCTAGATGTACGGTGGGTTCATTTGAGCTCGTCTATTCAGGAGTTCCTCGAAGTATTCCGTTTTTCTGCTCTCAAATTTCAGTGATTGTCTTGCCTTATTTGTTCTTGACCGGTCACTTTGGTTTATTATGTTTTCCTGCTAGTTTCCTCATTGTGTTATATGGTTGTTTCCGATTTCCTTCCCTTGCAGCCTTTTCCGCTATCGACGGAATATGTAATCTTTTAAATGCTATATATTTCAACCTAGTATAATCGTTGATTTTGTCACAATCTCGAAGGAAGGCTGTATTGAACATTTGTAATACTGTTTATCCAGTTGTCCAGTGCTTCTCTAACTTCAGTTTCATGTTGGCAACCACCAAATGGTGATCTGAAGCTATGTCAACTCCTCTCTTGGTTTCTACTAAATCTCAACCAATCAACAAAAGTTTTCAGTAACCATAATTTGAATTTTTCAACTATTAGGAATTCTGTGGTTTCATCTGACAGAATTGAAAATGATGAATTAATTTATTTTTCCTTTTTACTAAATAAAGCTATACTATCCAGATACCATATTTTAAATCAAAAGAACTAATGGCCACCATAATTTTCAGTTGCTAGTCTTCACATTTACCTTTGGAGACTAAATTAAATATTCCTGTGGTGAACTAGAACACAAGTGGGGACGACCGAATTTATTCGACACGAAATTACAGAATTTCTCACTAAAATCTGAGAACCATATAGTAAATCTTTAATTTGCAAAACATCAATCGATTCTCTCAAATGTGACTGTTTCTTTTGCAAATATCAGTCCATCGTCTCAGATTTCATTGTTCCTGCATTTTCATAACAATTGCTTTCCGTTCCCGTTCTTTCCTTCTCGATCTCCTAATGAAATACATTCTATTTCTGACTATCGTTATATACTACTTATGTGTATATAAGCAGCGCACACCACATTACATGTTACATAATTTAAAAAAATATTGTCATCTCTCTGTCATTAGCAGAATCATTTATTTGTTTGCACCAAAGCAGTGAACATGTTAAAAAGTATGCTATAGATGAAACTAAGCAGTCTGTATAGTTTCTTACTTCTGGTTTGCATTTACCTGTGATATAGTATTTTCTTCTTCAACTTCAGTATGAAAAACTGGTAAAATTATTTAGAAAGAATCAAATATTGATTACGTTTGTTTTAACTGTAAATAAAATGATGCTTGCTGACTGTTATGACTAAACAAAGACTGGTACTTTGAACAAGAAATACTGTGATTAGTATCATATAAAGAAGTATGCAACGAAGATTGATGAGAATTCTTCATGTAACAAAAAAATAATAACCAAAAACTACTTTAAATACAGTACATTATGCATGATGTACTTATATGATCAACAGTCATAATCGAACACACTGAACTCGTAAATACTTGACATTGTTTAATCATTAAATTTAAGTATGGATAGAGTTTACAATATCAAGGGGCTAAATTAGTTTAAATATAACTAAATTAATAAGATATATATTGGCTTATTCCTATTGTCTTCTCCACTTTCTGATCGGTTGCACATGAGTAAGTTTCTCTATAAGAAGTCAACTTGAAAATCATTTGTTCTTCTTTGTAGTAACTCGGTACTAGAAAAGAAACCTTAATTAACATAGACTTCATTTCTTTGTCTAAAATATTTTGATATTACTTTTGTAATACTGTTTTATTTCGTGTTTATTTTTTTCCTCATGTCTTTCTACAGAATGCGATGTGGTACCATTCGTGTTCTGTCATTCAAAGTAGCATTGGCTTTAATGTCAATGGCAAATTTAGATGAGAAATATCGATGTAAGTACAATTCAGACACATGGTTAATTTCTGAAAACATTTTCAAACAAAACTTTGAAAAATCATTCACTCGAATCTGAACTTTAAATCAACATTAGAACGAGTAGTCGATATTATCAAAAAGGTTGTATAACAAAAGCTGTTGTAGACTGTGTACATAAAAATTGAATGAGTTCATCGAACTAGTACTATACTACTTAAATTGTTATTATATTTATTCAGATTACTGATTTGTTGAAATCATTCAGTTGATAATTACACGAATAGAAATGTCATGAAATTAATATCTAATGCATTACAATTTTATATAATGTAGGCGCAAACTAAACAGCGTTATTGAATCAAAGTAATCAGCATCATAAGGTACCTTGCGTCAAATCATAGTTTTTTTAATTATTCATTAAGATTTTTGAACTCAGATCACCCCATACTAGAAAAATTTAGTATTTTCAATAAATTTCTTAGACTAAAAGGCTCATCGTTTAGAATAATTTCAGGAGGTCCTTATAGATTGTAAAAACTTAGTCATAACGTCACATTTTGTGAAACTGTTTTGTAAAAGTTTTAGTCTTGTGGAATGCGTCAGTTACCTCAAGGTTTTAGGTACAACTTGTGACCAGTGCTCACTAATACTAAACATAGATACAGGATTTTATGATTCTATCTAAAATCACCTAGCAGCAAATCAATTGATGACCGTATGCCTTCTTCAGAACTAATATGCTTAGACCCAGTATTCCTAGTTAAGTTTTATGCAGACGAATTCCAAATAAAAGAAATTAAACAGATTTCACTTAATTTTTTTCTATAATGCATTTTGGCAAGAAAGCGTCTGGAAAACAGATGTAGTTGAATTTTTATTTTTCACTTCATAGATCTATTCAGTCTGATATCTGATCGTGATGGTTGTGTAGATGAGCAACGACTAGGTGCTCTACTATATGAATGTGTACTTATTCCACGTAATCTTGGTGAAACTGGACAGTTTGGAAATGAAGATTTTAATCAATATGTAAAAACGTGTTTCCAACAAGTATGTGATCACTTTCCATTGGAAATATGATTAGTTTCAATCAATAAAGTTTAACGTTTCAATTACAGTCGCTATATATTTTTTAGAATTACCGAGAAGGAAAAAAGCTTCCTTCTAGCCAGGTGTAAATTATACTTCAATCATCTAACAACAGTAAAACAATAGATTAGAAGTAATATTCTTCACTTTTCCTCCTTATGCAATGAATATTGACGGGTCCTTTCCTATAGTATAGGCTTGTGTGAAATAGTGGAGAAATGTAGAAACTATTAGTTTATTGTTTTATCTTGGTCCCAAATTTTAACAGACCTCCAAATCTTCTTTGAAAACAAAATATATTTTGTAAATATATTTGGCTACTTATTAAAACGTTAGTAGTCCATAAATTCTAGTATCAAACATTTGACGTTCAGAATATTGTTTATTTTCTTCAGTGTTATCTTGAATAGCTTAATAAATCTAGTTGAAAGTAAATGATGTAACATGTTGAAAGGTTCAAAATTATGATGAAACAAATGTTCAATTCAATTTTTTCTTCATTTTTTTATTATTTTATTATGAATAACCCTAGTGACAATTAGGAAAATACAAAATTTCATTTGGTTATTAACTACCAATTGATAATACTGAACTATAATCATATTATAGAACAACTGTATGAATATAGAACTGTTCTAGTCTATTTCTATGAAGTCTAACATTCAGAACATTTTCATTAGTTCTTTCATAAAAAGATAATGAATTCCCCACAAATAATATAACTGATTGTTCACAAACCAATCTGGGTTTCAGAGATTGATGTAACTTATAAAAAACCCTTAATTTTCTTATTGTGATACTTTAATTCACTAGTAGATCGTTTGTTATACGATGCTATCATTAATAAGTTTTCTTAAACGACTGATAGTATTCAACGTAAATTGCAATCTATATATTAAATATGGTTTTTCTAGATAGATATCTAGATCTATTAAAGAAACAAGTCTTATAAATTCGACAGTTAGGAAGACCATTTTTAAAAAAGGAACTATTATTCACACGTAATTCGGTAGGCTGCATTAATGGGCAGAACACATTAGGGAACAGTTCAACTGACCTTCGCTTACCGACTACTTTCAAATAATCCTTTAACTCTAATGGAAACTGAAAAGACTATAGGTAACCTAAAGTGAAGGAGAACAGCAGATCTGAATGGATTAGCTCCGAAAAGTTTTAGGAATGGTGGTCTAAATTGACTGAGATCTTAACCAGAATCTTAGAACTGGACGTTATCCTATTTGATTGGTAGCAATCTCCGATCATTCCAGCTTATGAGGAAGATCAGTTTCTACTTTGCGTATGTCTGACTGACCGGATAAGTGACATTTTAGACAATTTGCTCAGTTACAAATATTTCAACTTATGGAAAAAGTGTAAATGGGATTTGGTTTGATGAATAATAGAACTTGAAAGGTTTACACACCCTTGTAGCAAATGATCTAAAGGATTGTGAATCTATCACAACACCCTTCGGATAATACTTTCCAGTCATATTTTTTTTCATCTATAAATTCTATGGACTGGATTATCTCTGTTTTGTCAATTGTCTCTCTATTAAGTTAGACAACATTATCACATCTAGAAATCAACTAAACGACTACGGTTTAATCTTTGATTGTTTTCTGTTATAACTGATCGGGTAATCTATTTAGATACAATGATGTACTACAGTAGGCAAACGAATAATGATTAGTAATAAGCTGTATTTTATAAGCAAGCACAATTAAGTATAAATGTAGATCCTCTGTAAACTACAAACTTTGTTCAAAACTTCTTCATATTTTGTCCAATTTCTACTATTTCAGGTCCTTGAAATTTCAAAGCATTCGGATAAAATAGATGGAACTTTAACATATCATTCTAAACCTACAGCAAGGATTGTTCATTTCTTGACATGGCTTCGTTTAAATCCACAAATGTTGACGTGGTTGCCATTATTACATCGTCTTGCTTTATCTGAACAAGTAATTCATCACATACGTTGCAGTGTATGCCATAATCAACCTCTTATTGGACTTCGGTATGTGCGTATTTTTGAGTTTTATAACAAAACTTTTTTTCTGTGGGAATTATTAATTTAATAATTTTCTATATAAACTATTATACTGATATGTTTTGATCAACTTATTTCCACAATAAACGTAGATAATCTGCTTTAATCACTATTAATATGACACCAATTAATCCGAAGTGTTAAGTCAAATTTCAAATTTAGAAGATTGATTTGGTAAACCACTTTTATGTGTAAATATATTCATTTTCAGAAATGATTATAAATTTATACCAAAATTTAGTTGGTCGAGAAAGTTTCTTTCTGTATACGTATCTTGTTTTATATATTTGAAACATGACACAGAAATGTACTTCAAAACCGTTAATTTATCTGAGTTTTAAATAACATAATTATCAATTTTTTTCCACCAATAATATAACATGAAACGAATGAATAAATTTCATAGTTAAATATTAGGGTTACTTTAAATGTGTTCCAGTCGTTAGAATTCATTGTAATTTCGAAATGTACCTTCCGTGTTAGTCGGAATTCATAAACAAAGCTTTTTAAAAGTATTCTGAATCAAATAACTGATTAACTTTCAGTGGTCAAGTGGAAGCTTGTTATTCGTTAAGGATACTGTGGTGTGGGTTACTTATATTCTTATAGGTAGTATATAACGGTGGTCAGAAATAGAATATATTTCAGCAGAAGATCGATAAGGAAAAAACGGGAACGGAACGCAATTGTTATGAAAATTTATGAACAACGAAATCTGAGACAATGGATTGATGTTTGCAAAGGAACAGTGAAATTTGAGACGATGGATTAGTATTTTGAAAATTAACTGTTAACTATATGGCTCTCAGATTTTTTTTTAGTTGCTTACAAACGTTGACTGAAGTTTTATATAATTTAGCAAAGCAAATCTTTCAAAAGTTATTAAACGTACACCTGAAAATGTTTTTCGACACATACTTATTATCTGTATAGTTCTCAAACTTTTTACCTAATTTAACTGAAATAAGAATGGATAATAATGTTTATTGCGTATGTCTGAACACCGATTACAACGACGTGCAATGCTAACCGGTGTTCGGGATGGTTGGGAGAAAGTTAGGGGCGGCCAAACCAAAACGTAGCATCAGTGCTTGAAGTCACTAACTTCTAGTCTGAGCCATGTTGGTAGATGAAGACTACTTTGGTTGGGGCCTGCGTGACTTTCGTAACCAATGGTTGGAGACTCTTGGTGACATGGCTCAGAATCGATCACAATGGCGTCGGTGTATACACTCTCTGTCTTCCCTTAAACTAAGAGATTAAAATTGCTTCATATCTTTCTTTGTACGAACTAATTCTTTCTTCCTGTACTATATCCTTATTGAAATCTTTCTTTTATATATTACCACCTCTGAATTAACTACTTTTATGAATCCGGTGTTCATCTTGTGTTAATGAGATATGGCAACTTGGACCGATGCATATATGTGCCTGGTCTTATGTTGTAGCTGACTGACTGACTGATTGCGTATTAGTATAAAAAAATTTATATCGTAAAATTGTCTTCATTATAATATAGGCACTTCGTTCAGTGATTTAATGATTGACACTATAGAATAAGAGAGGGAGTTAACTGTTAATCTTGAATTTAGTGTTTAAGATTTTATTTTTCATGAGGATTAGTAACCATTCGTTCATATTTACCGTGAGGTTGAAATTTCTATCGTTCAGTTAAGAATTTAATGCTAGAATTTTCCAAGTATTTTCGAACTCTTACAGGAACGATGACTGATTTCATAATTCTCGGCCTCAATGAAATTGTAATATATATTGTTTTTAAAGAATAGAATGTACACTAATCTAACAATGCACATAAACAGAACCATTCATTATTTAAATACTATATTCAATCATGTGAACTCAGAATCTGAGAGATCTCTTGTAAATAAATGCCAATTTTAAATAAATGTTTAGTGAAGACACTATCGACTTGTTTCCTCTTACAGCAGAAACAAATCTGTGTGTATGTTGAATCATTAAGAGTTGTGAATACAACTTCAAAATTTACATAATAAAGTTCTCTCATCTAATAACATCTAACAAAAACTATGCATCACTTAATGTATTAAGTCGTCAAAGAAGCTCTAACATGAATTACGATTTCAAAGATGAAATCCAAATGTTTCCCGTGATATATTTGTCGTCATAATTTGATAGGTGTACTATAATATACACTTTACTAAATAATTAAGCACATTTCGTGTAGATAACTCAGAAGGCTGTATAATATAATTCCTAACACAAGTAATTTTCAATACTTTATACAAGTGTACTTATTTAGTGCTAATAAAAGTTATCAAAATTATGGTTAGCCAGTCAGATGAAATATTATCCACTAGAAGGAAATCAACATGGGCTACTACTGTTGTGAACGAGAACACCAATGGAGATAGTCAAATGTGTTTAAATGCATTACAGAATACCTTGATAAAATGTGAGGACCATAAAGTAAATACTTCATTTGCAAAATATCCATCAATTGTCTCAAACGTTTTTCTTCCTTCGTTTCTATACCAATCACTCTCTGTTCTCATTCTCTTCTCTACGATTTTCTCAACTGTCTGCCATCGGGTATTCCACTTCCGACTGATGGTGCATACTACTTATATCTGTCGACATCAGTAGCACACACCACACTACTATTGCAACTACTACTAATAATAATAATCCATTAATTAAATTACGCGTAATGACTCTAATATGAACATTTCATATATAAAAATTTGATATTGAAAAGTGGACAAATACCCATCATAATATCTGTATTATTTCTTCAAGTGCAATTCATAGTAATATTCTCAGTAATCATTAGGATTCTTAAATTGGTTTCTATAATTTTTAGATATCGTTGTCTACGTTGTCTAAATTTTGACATGTGTCAGCAATGCTTTTTCGCTGGAAGAACATCTCGGAATCATAAGCTTACGCATCCAATGCAAGAGTATTGTAGTCATGTAAGTCGGTTTTTATTTCTTTGTTTTTTTCCATTTAGATGGTCAGAAGCTTTCAGCTTTTAAACTGTTACATATGTAAACACTGGATGAAGGTCATAATTATATCTGAACGAATTTAAGTTGTATAAGTATAATTATTTCTTAGTTCCAAATATGAGAAAGTTTAGGTTTTTAGAATCTATTTATCTGATGTAAATAGTATTTTATTGAGTCAATAAATCAAGATTTAGAAAACCCCATTTCAATATCCGTGAATAACTCCTTAATATTCAACATACATTTATGCACTTTAGAAGTGTATTCCGGTGTATAAACAAGGGATTTATCTCCATGACTGAATGATTCATCTAATTCAGTATATTAATAAAATGAGTAAAAGAATTACTTTGAAAGTTAACTGTAGTTAAAACTAACCAATTATAATACATGTGATCATTTACAATCATGAGGAGAATGACATTCAATGAGAGGTACACATCCTCCTTATAAATCAGTCAACAGTAAATACACTATACTGTGATCTTCAAACACTTCATTTAATTTATTTACACTTCATGATTGTTCAACATTCATAATGTAATTTCTAAGTACTGTGTACAATACGATGTGACCTTATAGTGTGTATAGAAACACTGAATGACAACAAACTGTATTGATTTTGGTAAAGAATACTAAAATACAATAATTTTTCTAAAGATTTTTCTCATTTCATTTCCCACATACTAAACATAATGCTTTTTTTGAAATGTAAAATATTAACTTCGATTTTGTCTCATTTTTTTCTTTTACCCCTTAACTATCTTCCGTATCAATTAACCATTTGATTTTGGAAAAAACAAAATATTCATCAACATCATTATTGTAGTCTACATCTACAGATTCATTTAAAGATTTCACACGAATTGTAAGAAATCGTTTTCGATCCAGAGATCGTTTAAATGACGAAAATGAACGTCGTAAAATTAATAATGCAAATGGTCAAAAAGTCAGACGATCCAGTACAAGTCGTACAAGATGTAAACGTAATAGTTTGAATAGTTTTGATGAAGAGTATGTCTTATTTGAATAATGTTTTTTTTGTTTCTAAATTATAATATGATTATTTTCTGAATTATAGTGTTTATTAAAATATTATTATTAGTAGTAGTATATACTCTATAACATGTTCAATCTAGTACATTAAGCCAAGAAACTTCTATACTGTGAACTGATCCTACACACAACTGATTAGGTTCATAATCAATACTAATATAAAATCTAATGTTTCAATGTGTTTTGTAATTTCATCTATTAAACTTAAAGAAGTGAAAGTACAACTGGTTTGTTACAAGTTTTTGTTTGAAATAGTCGGTCTATAAGGTCTCACCATATTTCTCTAATTCAACATTAAGTTCAATGATTTTTATGACATAGAAATACTAAGTGAACAGATTCTTTCCAAATTGATTCTATATGAGTATTATGGTTTGATGATTTGAGTGTTGTAAGTAAATAAAAAAATAATTAATCTTGTGAGCCGGGATCCATGGATACGCAGTGCTGAGAAGTCCCGCAATAGGACGAAACGGCCGTCCAGTGCTTCCAGGTTTTCCATGGTGGTCTAGCTTCAATTGATTCATGATATCAACAATTGAAATTCCTAAAATCTCCACAAAACCCCCTTCTGTTCATTATAAATCTTTGAAGAAGCAAAGTGAGATTAGAATGTTACTTCGTTTTTTATTTAATAAATTTTCACTAGCGGTCACTTTATTCATATATTGTGATCTAGAGAGAAAAAGAGATGTGTTTTTTATAGAGTATATAACCATGTAATAATATGGTATAAAATGATGATTTAAAAAGAAAGGAAACTGATGATTGGATGCTTTCTTATTGAACCCACATTTCATCGAGAGTTGATTCGTTGAATTTGTATATATCTTTGATTACTTTTATGTATAACCAATCCAGATAACATTGAGATATTAGAACGTTCAGTATGAAATGCTTGCATAGTAAACATTAGAAATGTTAATCATCAAACAAACCGTCAGTGAAGGAAGTAAATGAATTTATTGTTCTACATATATGTGTTTAACTTGACAGCCAAACTTAACTTGTCGATTACTGAATAGGTTTACATATAGTTCATACATTTAATGCAATAAGTAGGTAAACAAACATACATGTATTCCCACGTCTATAAAAATGTAAATGTATGATAGTTAATAACTGATCATATTAGAATAAATGAAATATAATTAATGGGATTAAAATTGACACATTTACTTGTCAGACATTTTACTTGTTCAGACAAGTGTAGATTTGCACAGAGATGTATGTTGTGAAACCGCTACACATCACAAAGAATGTAAATAATTCAGTAAGAAATATCACAGTTGATTGTAAAACCAAGAAAAGTCCTTAGAATTGTAGCCAATCTTCGGGTTGTTTTAATATCTAGATTTAATCATTTGTAGCATATTTTGTATCCGATATAGCTATGAGCTTTGATAACTCGCTATAGAAGGTTTCATCATTATACGTTTTATAGTGATCTACATCGATTTTTTCAAAAGTTCTTGATTATCAATATGAAGCTTAGAAAAAGCTGGAAAAGTTCTGATTTTTATCTAATTATGATCAATAAAAAATTCAACTTTCATTGTCATTTCTTTTCCTTTTAATAGTAAACCTCGTCCAGCACCAACTTACAGTCAAGATCCATTCTCTGATTTTGCAGAATATCAAAATTTAGACACTCCGTTTGTTAATGATCAAAAATGCCCATATCGAAATTCGATCTCGAATACACAATCACCTCAACATTATTTTCTAAACGAGACAAGTAATAATTACAACAACAATGATAATAATAATCAACATCCTATTCCAAGTTGTAGACCATTATCAAATGTAGCTATGCCTTCAAATCAATATTCAATGCCACCGCGTGCATCATCTGATACTCAATCGTCAATGTCTAGACAGAAAAATATCAATACGAACTTATTTACAACACCACCACCATTAACAACAACAACTCCGTCACCGCAAACTTTACAAATCAACTCAAGATTGAAAGCTGACCTTGACTGTAGTTACAAGCAAACTAGTGAACGTGTAAATATTCAACAATATCATGGCGATAATGAAGAACATAAATTAATTGCACGTTATAGTCAAGAATTAAGACAATATAGCGAACCTGAATTGGTAAAAAAAATATTGTTTTTGAAAATCATATTCTTTTCTTGAGAGAAATGTATCTTTATAATTTAACCAAAACTCTAAATCTATTGGTTTACAAATAATAGTTTACACTACTAACATACATATACTAGTCGAAGTAGTTGTAATCTTTGAAGCTGATAATTCCTTAATTCAATAATTTATATCAGTAACAATGTCATTAATAATAAAAGTGTTGGTGGATTTGTAAACCGACGGATTACAGACGAAAGATATTAGGTTGATCATATAAGTAAAATTTTAAATTAATAATTAAATTTATTTTTAAAAATAACTGTTTGTGGGATTCAACAAAACCACTCAATGAGAATCGCTCAAGTTTTGGTAGAGAACTTATTCTGATCAGCTAAGATCCCTGAAAATCTTATATTACTTACTTACATCTGTTATCCCTCATGGAGGAGCATAGGCTTCCCACCAGCACGCTCCACCCATTTCTGTTCTGAGCATTACTTTCCAGTTGTTTACGGTTGCTATCCATCGTTTCCATGTCTGCTTCCAATTCGCGATGAAGTGTGTTCTTTGACCTTCCTCCTTTCACTCCCCCTTCAGCGTTTCAAGTTAGCATGCTTGCCCCTTGATGCAGTTTGATGATTTTTTGAATGTATGTTCTATCCACTTCCAGCATCTTTTCCTAATTTCCTCTTCAATTGGAAGTTCGTATGTTCTTTCTCACAGTAGGGTGTTGCTGATGGTATCAGGCCAACGGATACTGAGTATCTTGCGTAGACGATTGTTTATAAATAATTGTATCGATTTCATGATGTTTGTGGAAGTTCTCGAAGTTTCAGCTCCGTACAGTAGAACTGTTTTCACCTTCGTATTGAAGATTGTGACTTTGATATTGGTTGACAGTTGTTTTGAGTTCCATATGTTCGTCGAGTGTAGAAATGCAGCCCTTGCTTTGTCAACCCACGCCTTCGGGTCGTGTCGGATCCTCCTTATCCATCGATGATTCTGTCCAGATACGTGAACATTTCCACCTCTCTCAGAGTTTCTCCATCATGTGTGACTGGTTTGGTGTTTTTCGTGTTATATTTGAGGATCTTGCTCTTTCCTTTGTGTATGTTGAGGCCTACTGATGCAGAGGCTGCTGCCACACTAGTTGTCTTCATCCACATTTGTTCGCGTGTATGCGATAGAAGGGCCAGGTCATCTGCCAATTCCAAGTCTTCTAATTGATTCCTGGCTATCCATTGTATTCAGTGCTTCCCCCACATGTCGGAATCTTCATAATCCAGTCACCCACCAGAAGATAGAGGAAGTGGGAGAGTAATCAGCGTTATCTGACTCCAGTCCTAACTTGGAATGCATTCATCAACTGTCCTCCATTCCCGACTTTGTACTTTTGTCCGTCGTATGAATTCCGGGTGATGTTGACGATCTTCCCAGTTATACTATAGTTTTGAGGAAGGTTCAACAGAGTTCGCCTATTCACGCTGTCAAATGCTTCCCACTCAAGTGATTGTTCAACGATGATCTGTAGTGTCGCAATTAGGCCTCTTAATGATGGATCCATACGGAATCCAGTCTGTTGATCTCGAAGCTGGGTATTCATTGAATCTTACATTCAGTTCAGCAACACTTTGTTGAGAACCTTTCCTTGTACGGATAGTAATGTGATGCCCCTGAAGATTTCACATTTTCGCAGATCTTTCTTTGGTATGTTTTTGGGGTATCCTTCTTTCCAGTCTGTCAGTGACACTTGCTCTTCGTCCCTAATCTTCTTGAATAGAAGGTGGAGTATGTCTTTAGTTACTTCTGTGTCTGACTTTAGTGCTTTGGTTGGTATATTGTTAGGTCCTGCTGATTTCCGACTGTTGATGTGTGTGATGGCCATCCTGATTTCTTCTATCGTCGGTGGAGTAATATCTATAGGAAGCTCCGTAGGTGCTTAGAACAAATTATGAAAATCGGTATGACAATTAATTTATTTCGATATTTTATCCGGCACAACTCGTAATGGTTAGCGATAAAAATAATGAATGTAATAGATTAGCTATGCACACCTTAAACCCTTAAAATAATATTTTCTTTTTATAAGAGTAACTATGGCAAATAAATTACTTTATGTAAGAATTCCAAACATTCTAAATTTTAAAGATCCTACTGGAGTTCCGACAAGAGTTTCCATACAATTAATCGTCAGATCAGAACCACTATTCTGAACTCATCAACTGACAAAAAATCAAAGTAATAAGAGTCTGAGTAGGAAATGTATCGAATTGATTTTAATACTGTAAACAGAAGTGCGTAAATTTATTTCATCTGTATTATCACTTTAGCCTCATTTGCAACAAACATCAGTACTTCAATCAATGTCTTGTTCCACTGGTCCGATGATCATGGAAAGATCTACCATATCAGATGGTATTTCAACGAATGTTCCAGGTATGGATGTTGAACAAACACAACCGTTTATTAGTGGACATCTTAGTTTGGACCGACGTCAAACCGATCGAGGGGTAAATTTCCCACCATTAGGTTTTGGAAATCCCGCACTACGTGGATCTTTTTCTGGATGGACGCCACGTGCTTTAAATGGTACTTTACGCATTGACAATCAATATGGCCCGATTGGTCATTTACCTCAAACATCCTATCAGACTTCTATGGGTCAAGACGTTAATCCAGATATATATGCACGTCATATTCAACGTACATTTTCACTAAGAGCTAGATCACAACCTCCACCGGAGATTCAAGAAACAATGTGGAAACCTATCGGTAGCACAAATATACTTTCTCGTCCCCAAACCTATCTTACAAACTATCCAATCCAACAATTACAACAACAGCCCTATGGACAAATGCAACAGGTAACTGATTAATTATATTGCAATGATAAATTTTCCTGGTAAATAGGTCGATATTTAATCATATAAAAAATACGAAATTTAGTTAGATTACTCTATACTGACATTGATCTTTTGAGGTGGTTCATATAGCAAAACAGCGATTTGTAAATTTACAAAAAAGCGATCCATAATTAGAAGCATTTTATCAACAAAACGCTCCACCAACGTTATAGTTTACAAGTCAGAAGAGGTATTTGGATGATATTGTGTTCTCTGATCTAAAGTTTAAAAAGTGAGATAATTCCAGGAAATAATAACTGATACCGGTAACCTAATGCGCAAAGTGTATCAAACTAGACGATTATTAATTAAATGTTATACTCTGAAGGCGTACAGTTTATACCTAAAAACTACTCCATGTAATTTTTTATGCTGTTTTTTTCCGTTTATAGTTCATAGAATATTAGATAAATATCATTAGATGAATATTACTGGTTTCCTAAATTTTACTATTTTCTAATTGTATATATTTTAAAAAATAGACTGTTCGATCACTTGAAGATGAACATCGTGCGTTACAGTATGAATATGATCGTTTAAGACAAAGATCTACAACTCCAACCAATATATCAGGATCGTATGGTACAATGAATAGAATACAATATTCACAACAACGAGTCAATGCTAGAATACCTCATCCAAATCCTTTATTGTATCCTCAACCATTCCAGTCAACAGAAACAGGTCGTGTATATAGTATACAACGAACTATAACTCCAACTAATTCACCGTGTAGAACATTATCGATTAATAGTGGCCACTTTTTTTCAAGTCCATTGGATTCAGGGTAAGTTAATGTTCAAAGGTTAATATCACTTATCATGAAAGTTTAACCTGGATTACATGGTACTATTAATTGGTAAATAAATATTCATAGACCTAATCATATTAGTCAGTTTTACATATGTAAGGACTTTAATGCAAGCTTATTTCATTAAAATATTTTCTTGTAACACCTCCGAATCTCTGATGAAAAGTGTATATTATTGTTGAAAATAAGCTGTCAACTTTTTCAATGATATCCGACAGTTACTTTGGAGTACACTAGCTTTTAGTTTCATGCTATATGCGTACGGTTCTAACTCACTAATGATTTAATAACTTTATGAAATGGTGATAAGTTATGTTAAATCATCATAGACAACAATGAAATTTACACAAGTAACCTTCAAAGCTCACTGAACACAATACTACCGAAATCATTTGTTTTATTGAATAAAAACATTATGATTACGGCATATAATTCTTTCTTAAGACAATAGGTGGTGCTAATTTTTAATTCTAGTTTCATAAAATAATCGACTACTTACAGATTATCTTATTTTTAGGATAATATTTTAGTGTCTTAATACATAACTGACTAACGTTATAATAATACCATAGTTAGTATTTTTCAATCCAACATCATTTATGAAATAAACAGATTTGTCGCATTTTAAGTTGCAGATAAACAAAATCTTTTTTCAGTTAGCACTGTTTATTGTTTTGAGAGTTTCTTTCTTTTCATTTGGTCTTATAACAGTAATTTGCTATCTTTCACTCTCTCATTGAATAAAACATATTTTTCTACTTTGTTTTACCATTTAAAGCATTCTACCTTTATCAGCACAAAATTTGCCTGGACGGGCTAATAGTTCTTCTCTTGACCTTGGATATACTACTACTGACCAGTATACTACAGATTCGACATCAGCACCATACAAATATCAAGGACATATGAATGAAGCAATATTGGTTGGTGGTGTAGCCAATGAACCACATCAAGAATCCCGATTATTATGGGAACATAAAGGACGTCTTGAAGCTAGAATGGTAATGCTTGAAGAACATAATCGACAACTGGAACAACAGTTACAACGTCTTCGACAATACCTTGTAAGTGGAAATTCTGCACCTGATCCCATTCCATTACATAATACAAATTCTACAGGAGAATCTGTTCATGGGGGAATCGGCAATCAAAATAACGTAAGCATACGTCAGGTAAGACACACATAAATATATTTTAAGAACAAATTTATATTAGTTCATCGAACTAGTCATAAATTAGTTTAGAATTAGCCTAAAACTTTTAATTTAAATATAAAAATTCTGAAATGATACAAATAACAATTAGTTATCACATTTGTCATGCTCTAAATAAAAAAAAAACTAGTGTAGGCACATTTATATTATCCCTTAGTTAACTAGACCTTTATCGAGAATGTTTACCTATCAATGTTCTGGTGCTTTCAATATGAAAACAATTTATTTATAAACAATATATATATATACTTAGATGTAAATGGATTTTCCACTGTATTTGAGGAATTACCCATAGAAGTAATCTAGGTTCATATTCCTGTCTAGCATTTAATGAGAAATCAACAGAAATCTCCCTAAACTATAGAAAACTAATTCTGTGTATTTATACATTTACGTTCAGTTTTATGGACTTATCGACCAGCTACATATAATCTTGTAAAATAGCTAACGTAACTATTAATTCCTATTGACAATGATGTAAGTATGTAGTGAATGAAGATTTGATGAGGAAACAAGTTTAATGTTTGATACAAATCACACAGTGGTTAAGTAAAATATGAAAATTATACAGTCAATACATTATTTTCACATCTTTCATCAGTTGTCCTTAAAATTCTTCGAAATTCTTTCAATTCTATTGTTATTCAAATTGCTCCCTGTTTCTTTTTTTCTCGTCTCTTCAATTCAATCTTCTGCTAGCTGGCATTGCACTTCCCAGTGTTACTAAATACTACTTATATATGTCAGTAGAAGCAGTTCAATCACAAGCATACTCTGTAGGTTTCATTCGAGCTGACCAATCACTGATATAATATCAAAAAATAGAGAGTGCCTTCTTTTGAAGCTAATTCTTTGATTAAAAATATTTTGTCACATAATGAACATGATACCTTATGTCACTTACCTCTTCGAATAATCTTTAATTACCTATTCTTGTAACAATTCCAAAAAATTTATTATTATATACCAATAGTTTGTTTCATATTTTCAGAACTATAATGAGCTGACATACTTATGTTATATGTTGAGAATTTGACTAAAAACTCAACCCAAAATGTATCTTCATATGTGGTATATGAATGAAATAATAGTGACAAAACTGAAGATGTGAATTATTTATTAAGAAAACATAAATCTCTTCAAATGTACGTTTGTCTTTCATTTGAAACGGGAAGAATAGCCAGCTTCCTGTCTTAGATATTCTTATAAGTAGAAAAGAATATACCCGAATCAAATAATCTGTCTATGGAATGCCTTGTAGTAAGCCCATTCCAATACTGTATTATTTATCTGCTCACTGTAATTTAGACGCTTAATCCACTATGTAATTTTCTGTGTGAATATGATTGAGCACATATCTGCACATCAATTTTAATCTATTCTCCCATTAGTTGTAATACACAGACAATCAATAACTTATCCATACTTGATTAACACTCAAAAATATATATGAATTTTTAACACACACACAAACACACTCTTGGTTTCCCTGTGTGCTTGCTTCCTATAAGTTTGCGGATTTTACCAATCTTTAACAATAAACTATCTCTATAACTGGTGTTCAGACTTTTGAATAATCTCGAGTAAATTCATAATTCTACTAGGAGATTCAGACTGCATTAAATACTCAGTTAACGGGATACTATTTATTGGAGTCAGATATAGGGGGAAATTAGCCTCTACAGCCTACATGAACAGGGTAGTATCTCGAATTTCGTAGTTATCATCCAGTCCTGTAAAAACGAGGTTTGATAAAAGGCTAATTCATTGGGACCGATCATATCTGGTCAAATGATACGGTGAATCTAATGAACGCAGTATTGATTTAGAATGTGTGTCAATTAAAATTTACAGACCGATAAGGTACTGACAGTACACTGACACCTGTTATGCCCCTATCATCTTAAGAAAACCTGTCCAAATCCTCCTGCTATTCAATGGTCAACCAAATAGCTTTATGCTGAAGCGAAGCTTTAAATCAATTATCAATGGAAAGTACTTTGCAGCCGAGATCATCAATATTAAAGCAGTTACATCCATGCTTTATTGAAAATGTAAACATTGTAAGCGATTCCTTTACACCAAGACAATAAGTGTTTACTAACACTTCTTACCATGACACATTTGAAGCCTTGCGACTAATTATACATTACGTGATAAATGAAGCCATTATTAGGAACATCAACACTAAGATTTAGAAACGTCCAAATGACGGGTTGCAGGTGAGACGAAATTGTGCCAATCACAATCTATCTTTATTAAAATAATTAAATAAACACATTAAAACAATATAGAACTTTTTAACTTACGATCGATAAATGCTAAACTATTCATAACTGGTGTGTATTTTGTTATCACGTTTTTAATATCCTTTGATCCATGTAGCGTTCATCATCCGGTGGTGTTAATAAAAACAATTCCAAAAATTGTTCAGAAAGTGTTGGTCAATTAACTGGAACACCTATGGAATCAAACCAACAGTATAATTCTAACAGACAAATAGCACAAAGATCTTATTCAGAAAGATCTCCAGAGAATATTAAACATCCACTTCCACATCGTATAACTGACGATATCATCACTGGTATAGTTTTGTAGTTTTTTGTGTTTTAGATGATGCAAATTCAAATGTGAATATGTCTTAAATATAGTGATAACAATAATAATTTTTGTTTAGCATCATATAACTCATTATGACCGGATATTCACAACAATCACAATTAATCCCCACTTGACATATAGTGCCTAGAGGATTACAAGTATTACAACAATGATTATTATTGAGGTTTATTTCTAATTATGAAATACATTGGTTTTCTCCAGTCTTAGGATCCACTTTCTCTCTCTCCCTCTCTCGCCATAAGATTTTATATGGTATTTGTATTACATTTTCCTTGCATATATCCCATTTTCAAAGAATAGACAAGAAAATAACTACATTAATTTGTGTGATTTATACGCTTGAGTTTTACTGCATCATTGATTTAGAGTTCGAAGTTGCATATAAAAAACACACCTGGGAATGTTAGAAAGTGTTCACATGGTGCTATCGTCAATAGCAATCAACAAATCATTATACAAAGTGATTTTATATATTTTACCTACTTTTCTCTTTTTAAGTAGTAAAATATCTCATCAACATTTTTAAGAGGCTATCTTGGGAATTTCCATTCCGAAGGACTCACGGTAGAACTATTAAAGAAATAGGCAATGCAGTAATTCTTTAGGACCATTAGTAACAGATGTTAATGTGGTAAATGTTGGAAATTTAAACTGAGACCTAATCGAAAATATATCAATTCAAAAGTTATGTGTGGATGATATCATAAGCATCTGTAATAAAACTTTACTTACGCCCGTTACCCCTTGTAGAGGAGCAGTGGCCGCCCAGCAGCACTCTCCATCCAATTCTGTCCTGAACAATCTTTTTCACTTGTTTCCAGTTGTTATTCATGCTTTTCATTTCTGTTTCCGATTCCCGTCGAAGTGTGTTCTTTGGCTTTCCTCTTTTTCACTTTCATTCAGGATTCCAAGTTAGGGCTTGCCTCATGATATGGAAGAGGATGCGAATTCATACACCAATAATTTTTCTAAACAGCAGACTCAAAAACAAGCCTTAAAAACTAATGGGAATAATCGTTACTATTTAATTTACAAGTGTATCTAAACCAATCAATAAATGAAACAGATAATAATATTTCTCTGAAGTTGCTCACAGAAAAAAAAAACAATATTAAACATTGATAACTGCTCCATACAATGATAATAATTAAACTTAGTAGTCAATGGTTTGTTTGGATAATAGATTGTAAACTTCACATATTATATTATGGCTAATAATTCGGAATACTTCATCAGTGTATCAATAATCATAGAACATTAAAAGTTTACTTTTCATTCATAATTATAACTGTTCATATTTTTTTCACTTCCAGATATTTCACAACGTAAACCTGAGTTAAGACTATAGATATGTAAACAACAAGAAAATCAATCGAAAAGTTAATGGGAGAAGGGGGTAAAATATACAGAAATCTAAACAACGGTTGTGCTTATTTATTTATTTCTAAAATAAAAAAACTCTTCACTTTTAATTTTTTTTTGATGCCTACATGAATTTACCAAATTTATATATTAACGATAGAACGATCCGGTTCTTCACCTAGTTAGTCAATATGGTAATCATCCATTCTTTTTTTCTTGGTTGGTACATATATCAGTGATGAGTAAACAATCGAAATTCTCATACAATTCAGTCCCTTTAAATCTCCCGCCAGAGCTTCCAATTTTATATATCTACTAAAGTTCACAAACATTCATTAGTATATATATATACATATACAATCACACACTTGATTCCTTCTCTCTTTTTCACAGATACATACATCAATAGTTGATATCTACGTGTAGATATCACTTTGGTGAATATATACTTAAAACAAAAAGGAGACATATGTCAAATCCAACTATTCCATCGCACTAGTTAATTTTGCTGCTTTCTCTCCTTTTTATTGTACTGCTGATTGTATTTTTTAATAAAAATGTATTATTTACTTCATCATTATTATTCTTCTTTACATATACACTAATAAACTAGCTAATAATTCTACGTTTACTATGATTAATTGGTTTTTATCATTATTCTTATTATATCATTTATTGAATTAATTAATTCCTGTTAACTACCTTTATTATTATAAATATTGAAGCCATTAAAATTGTAGTATACATATATATACACATAAAGAAAGAAAGTGTTACATCTCGACGACACCGACAACAATAACGAAAACTGCTGCTAAATAATCAAATTTCTTCTTTCTTTGTTTGTTTTTTTTCAAAAGTTAAAATCAACGAAATTTATTTAAAAAAAACAACCTGTAACAGTTGAACTTCAGTGAATATAAAAATAAACAAAATTGTATGGAATATTGTTATAGTTTTCTGGCTTATTGATGTGCTATTGTTTGTTCGAATTCACATTACTTTACTTTGACAATGAATTTCATTGATTAAGATACTGATTATTCGTGACAGTGATATTGTTGAAAAGTGATAGAATTAATTGAAAGAAAATTCAACTATCATAAATATAATAATAAAGTTAAATAGTAACTTTCAATGTAATCTCACATAAGTGATTCTGATATTTCTTGTCGGATTGAACGATAATTGTTATATCTGATCATCTCTGATTGTTGTGTTGGAAACGTTTATCAATTATACTAGAAAACAGGGACCTTTGCAATTCCCACAATGCGAAAGTAAAGAACATAAAAACCGGTATAAGTGAAGATTTAATAATCCCCAAAACACGTCGACGACGATGACCGTAGTCAAAAATACACTCATTTATGTATTGATTCATACACCCATTTTTGGATAATTACGTACTTACTTACTTACGCCTGTTACTCCCAATGGGGCATAGGCCGCCAACCAGCATTCTCCAACCCACTCTGTCCTGAGTCTTCTTTTGTAGTTCCATCCAATTCTTGTTCACTTTTCTCGTGTCTATCTCCATTTTTCGGCGTAATGTGTTCTTTCACCTTCCACCTCTCCTTTGGCCTCGAGGATTCCACGTAAGGGCTTGGCTTGTGACACAGTTGGGTGCTTTACTCAATGTGTGTCCTATCCACTTCCAGCGCTTCTTCCTGATTTCTTCCTCCACTGGGATCTGGTTTGTTCTCTCCCACAATAGGTTGTTGCTAATAGTGTCTGGTGAACGGATTCGAAGTATTTTACGTAGACAAATGTTAATGAACACCTGTATCTTCTGGATAATGGCTTTCGTAGTTTTCCACGTTTCCGCCCCATACAGTAGAACTGTCTTGGCATTTGTCTTGAAAATTCTGACCTTGGTGTTGGTCTACAGTTGCTTTGAGGTCCAGATGTTCTTTAGTTGCAAATATGCTGCTCTTGCTTTTCTGATCCGCGCCTTCACATCTGCATCAGATCCACCGTGTTCATCAATGATTCTGCTCAGATATGTAAAGGCTTTGCATCCTCCAAATCGTCTCCGTCAATTGTGATTGGATTGATGCATGCTGTGTTGTATCGGAGAATCTTGCTTTTCCATTTGTGTATATTGAGACCTACTGCTGTCGAGGCTGCTGCTACACTGGTCGTCTTCTCCTGCGTTTGCGATAGAACAACCAGATCATCTGCGAAGTCTAGATCGTCCAGCTGCATCCCAGATGTACAATATATCCCATGCTTTATCCCAGATGTTGACGTCTTTATGATCCAGTCGATCACCAGGAGAAAGAGAAAGGATGAGAGTAAGCAACCTTGCCTGACACCGGTCTTCACTTCGAACGACTTTGTCAACTGTCTTCCATGCACGATTCTGCAGTTTAATCCATCATTGAAATTCTGCATGATATTGACTATCTTCTGAGGCACGCCGTAGTGTCAAAGAAGTTTCCATAGTGTTGTTCTATCCACGCTGTCAAATGCCTTTTCGTAGTCAATGAAGTTGATGTAGAGTGATGAATTCCATTCAATTGATTGTTCCACAATGATCCGTAGAGTTGCGATTTGATCTGTACACGATCTATCCTTACGGAATCCTGCCTGTTGATCACGAAGTTGTGCGTCTACGCGGTCCTTCATCCTGTTCAACAATACCCTGTTGAAGACTTTTCCCGCTATTGAGAGAAGAGTGATGCTCCTGTAGTTATCACACTTGCTGAGATCGCCTTTCTTCGGTATTTTGATCAGGAGTCCTTCTTTCCAGTCTGTTGGTACTTGTTCCTCATCCCAAATCTTGCTGAAGAGAATGTGGAGTATCCCTACAGTTACTGCTACATCTGCTTTCAGTGCCTCTGCTGGAATGGTGTCTGGTTCTGTTGCTTTGCCACTCTTGATTTGCCTGATGGCCATGCTTATCTCTTCAATTGTTGGTGGGCCAACATCGATTTGGAGGTCCGTGGGTGCTGCTTCGATATTGGGTGGGTCCAGTGAGGCTGGTCGATTCAAGAGTTCTTCGAATTGTTCTACCCACCTGTTTTGTTGTTCTTCAATGTTGGTGGTTACCTTGCCTTCCCTTCTTTTCACTGGTCGTTCTGGTTTACGGTGAATTCCAGAGAGATTCTTTGTTGTATCATACAGTTGTCTCATGTTTCCTTCTCTTGCAGCCTATTCTGCCGTCATCGCTAAATCTTCCACATATTTACGTTTGTCAGTTCTGATGCTTCTCTTCACTTGATTGTTTAATTCTGTGTATTTAGCTTGTGTTTTGGCTTTCTCTGCTCTTGTTCGGCTGGTATTGACTGCTGCCTTCTTGTTCCTCCTTTCTTGAATCTTATCCAGTGTATCAACAGTGATCCATTCCTTGTGATGGTGCTTCTTGTGGCCCAGGACCTCATGACATGTTGAAGTGATTGCCTCTTTGAACCCCTTCCAGTTGCTCTCCATAGTAGTTCCTTCTCCATTGAGTAGATCATGAAAGGCCTGGAACTTATTGCTGAGGACTATCTTGAATTTGTTGAGTTTGTCAGTATCCCGAAAAAAACTGTATCTAACTTTTGTGATACTGTCCGCCCTATTGTCCATTGCTTCTTGATTTTGAATTTCACCTCGGCGACCAGCAAATGATGATTTGACGCTACATCAGCTCCTCTCTTGGTTCTCACATCTTCCATCGTCCTTCTGTACTTTTCGTTGGTGCAGATATGGTTGATTTGGTTCGGTGTAGTGTGATCCGGTAAAGTCCATGTGGTTTTGTGAATGAGGTTATGTGGGAATATAGTCCCGCCTATGACCAGTTTATTGAAGGCGCATAGGTTTGCAAATCTCTCACAATTTTCGTTTCTTTTTCCCAGTCTATCTCGTCCCATTATGTCTTCATATCCGGTGTTGTCCATCCCAACCTTGGCAGTTAAATCTCCCATGTATGCGCGGCATTTTCTTCTTCATGGCCGGAGTATAAGAGAAACTCCCCTGAAGCTAGTCGTTGTTGTCCAACTTGCATCCAACGTGTTTCACTGATCTCAAGCACCTGTGGGTTGTATCTCCTCATTTCTGAAACAACTTGGAAGACTCTTCTGGTTTCCCATATTGTACAAGCATTCCATGTATGTAAATAAATGGTTGCTCTGGTTGTTAGAAGGGGCATCGACCTCGTGGCTTCCGAAGGAACTCGGATTTCACCACAAGGCGTCATAACTCTTCTAAATGAAGACCTTCTAACTCCCAGGGCACAGTTCAAATGATTTGAATAATTTTTTCTGGTTAACGTTTTTTCAGGGAGTTTTCTACGGGATGGGGTTGCTAACCCCACGCCTAATCCTTCTCCTTTATATGGGCTTGAGACCGGCAGTAGCCCCCAGAGGGTCCCCAGGTGGAGTTATTTTTTGGTTACTAATTAGGATGAAATCACATATATAAAAAATTCTCACAGTTATAACAAATCATATGCCGAGGTCAGTTCATGTTAACTTAATACAAGGATAACGTATATTATAAAAAATAAAATGTTCCACTGGAAAACAAAACCGAATGTTACAGCAAGTAATTATCATCTTGAATTAACAAAACGGAAGTAATGTTGAAGAAAAAAATCATAATGAGTAAATCAATCTAATTGTGACTTTTCTTTCTAGCAGATCAGATTCTTTCTATTTAAGACTAGTCAACTGGATGTACGTACCTATATCCCAATGTTGAAATTCAGTTTGAAACTCAAATCTACTACCATTCGCTTCAAACATCAACTAATTATCTACTAAGCTATTGAATATATATAACCATTATGATGCATAGCGAGCATGAAACCTATTAGATACAATGAGTGACTATTCCATAATGTTTTAATTATCATTTATTGGGAAGTAATAATTATTCAATCATTTAAATATTCCTTAACAAGATAATTTAAAAAGAGTATTTCACGTGAAAAACCACTGAAACCATAAAGTATTTTATTTTTGTTTTGTCCATAGTTCAAGTCTTCCTAAATAATACTTGCTCATTATCCTACATGTAATTGGATTCATAATCTTCTAACATCAGTGTAGATTTCGGTAGATTTTAATGTATGACCTAATGGTTGAGAAATGTATCAATTCCAAATCAAAATTCATAAATTAAATATTGTATACACCATTCAACATACTATACATAAATAAATAGTTGTATCTTTTATTGGGTTGTAGACATATCCTGTCGATAACAACTAACTTGATGAAAAACGTAGGTTAATCATGGCTCCCCCCAATTTTAATAATAATAATAATAATGGTAGTTTTATTTACTACTATGTATTTAAGAATTTCTCATCATGCAATACACATCTGGTTACGTAGTGAAAATGTAAAAGAATAAATAATATCTATGTGTCTTCAGCTACTGAAATTTTACGTAATTTTTTCCTCTATAACATTTTTGTGACAAAATATGTGTAGTAAATGAAAATGAACACTGCTGAGGAGTCCCATACTAAGATGAAACGGTCGCCTAATGCTTCCAGGTTTTCTATGGTGGTCTAGCTTCAGTTGACTCATAATCTCAACTATTAAAAAAAAGGAAAATTTTACGTTAGTAAAAATTGCTTCAAATTTATCCACTTACATTTGCTGGTACCATAGAAATCGTGTACCGACCAATGTTAGACCACCATCGACAAACTGAAAGTACTTAACGGCCATTTCATTCAATTACCGGACTCCTCACCAGTGCTCGTCCAAGATCTCACATACACAGTTCGAATCCAGGACCTTCGATCTCACGTGAAAACTCTTAACGCCTAGACCGCTGAGCCATCATTCAACGGTGTTGATGTCTAACTTCAACAGGTCCACAATATTTTAACACCGTCTCCCACTGTCCTCGGTGGGTCGTTGCCTCACACCTAACACTGTTAACTCCACTGGGCACTTTTCACTACAATTTCGAGAATTCCCTCTCGAAGCCAGTTACTAGTAAAA